GTTTTATTGGCACGGAGTCCCAGAAAACAACAGCCCAAAGCCCCTGGACTGACAGCAGGGCTTAGAATTTCCAGGATGTGTGTGTACAATAACACACCTCCAGACACGGCCTGCATTAAAAAAAAATAAAAATGTTTATTTAATTTATGGCCACATGTCAGCAACGTGCAGGAATGCGGCTCCCTGTGTTTCTTGGATGCGGAGCAGGGAATTTTCAGCCCAGCCTTGTTTGCTGCTCCAAGGGATCCCAGTCCCCAGACCCTGCCAGGCCTCTGTGCATGCGCAGGCTCTGTCTGATGGGAGGCTGCTCCGCATTTAAGGAAGCATTTCCCTGGCAGGGAGCAGGGCTGTGGAAGGCAGGAAAGGCTCACAGACAGCTTGGGCAGTGTCCTTGCTGGGGCACTTCTTGTTCACAGAGGGGAGGACTCTCTAAAATCCAGTCCTTGTTCTTAGTCCTGGCAGGAAAACAGTTCTCAGAGCTGAGGATAAATTGGAACACCCTGGGTTTTCTCTGGGACGTAAGGATGGCAAAGGGACTGGGCCTTGTGTGCCCTCAGGGGAAGCAGAAAGGGAGAGTAGTAAATCAAGACCATGCACCATCTGTGAGTAGTGGAGAGAGGTCCTGCAGCGTGTGTGTGACAGAAACAGGGCTGTGGCTCAGGATGGAGCAGGTTTTTCCGGAATCATGGGGAATCCCACTTTGTTACACTGCATGGGGAGATTGATCTGGCAAAAAAAAAAGATGCAGTGCTAATGCAGGCAGGTGTTGGTGTAGGGAGAACATGTGAGACAGCAGAGTCACTCCAGGGGCAGCTTAAGGCATTAATGGGGAACTATCATTTGGAATATTGAGGATGGGGTGGCTGAAGAGGGGGGCTGGGTCCACCTGAAGACTGCAGAGCTCTTCCCAGCATTGGGAATTGTGCATCAGCTGGAAGTGGAGGTGCACAGGTGTGTGAAGGGCACAGCTGGAGCTGTCTCTGGTTTTGGATATTCAGAGGATCCAGGTGCTGGTGGGTACATGGGGAACGCATTTTAAAACCTGGGTGTGGAAAGAGAGAACTGAATGAGCCTTTATAACCCCCCAGGCACCCTGTGAAGGCAACCAGAGAAGCCTCCCCGTGCTACAGATTTCTGCTGCACGGATTTGGGAGTGCGTGGGAAGGGTGCCTACATCCATTACATTCAACATCTCTAAATTGGCATCCATTATCCTGGATGACTTCTCTGCAGAGCGCTGCTCGTTTCAGACTGGCTGGAGGCAGCTCTGTGGGGAGCAGCAGTGAGAAGTGTGAAGGGGGTCTCCGGGTTTTCAGGCTCCCTCCTCCTGTTTTCGGTGGCCGGGAGGGCTGGGATGGCCGGGATGGCCGTCTGGGAGCGGCTGATGCCGGTGGTGGGTGTGTGCTGGCTCCTGGCAGCGAGGAGGGGCCGTGCAGGGGCCGGGCCGTGCTGCTGTTCAGTGGAGAGGACGTTGGCACCGAGGCTGATGTGATGGGGATGGCAGAGGGAGCCGCCGGGGCGGCTGTGCCAGGGAGCCCAGACACGCAGGGCTGCGTTCCCACTCCCAAATCCCAGCCCCGGGGACCATGACAGTGAGGGATTAGTGGGGGCAGGGTGCTGAAATTATTTTTATCTCCTCTCCTTGTTGTGCCTGTGCACAAGTGCCAGCCTTTTCAGCCTTTTCTCTTTTTTTTTCCTCCTGCGAAGCATTAACTGGGTGGGTTGCCATGGCAACCCCCGCATGATAAGTTGGGCTGCCTCTTGCGGAGATTTCTCTTTCGACAGTCAAGATATCTCTCTCTCTCTCTCTCGACATTCCATCCCCTTCCCCATTTCCCCTGGAGTGCCAGGATGGCTCCGTGGTGCCCTAAGGGTTACACCTGGAGGCATCGGGGCTGTGTCGGGGCAGGAAGGAGCAGCTGCGAATCCTGTGGGATGTGCTTGGAATAATCCCTGCTCTCCACCCCTTGTGCAGCTCCCAATTCAAACAGGCTCCCAATGGAACATCCCTTTCACTTGCAAGTTTTCCTGAAGAGGGCCGGGAGGTGTTTGTTGTTTGTTCTAAACAGGCAGACATTGGAGTAGTTCCCAGCTAAGCCCAGATTACAGCAAGAATGAAACTGTGTTATTCTTTCATTCTAAATGCAAACAGTGTCTCTGAACGAGTGTGAAGTTTTCTGTGAAAACAAAAGCCAGCACAGGTTGTGGCAGGTTAATAAACTACAGGTATTTATTTCAAATCACCTTTGATCTTGTTTGTGATACATGAAAGATGCTCTAGGTGAGGAATCCCAGGTGAAGAATAAACTTCTCCAGAGCTGGAGAAGAGGGTGTGATCTCCCTGACCTGTAACTCCTCAGGTTAAAATCCACCCAAATCCAAGGCCAGTTTCACCAGAGGGGTTTTTTTCACCTCAGGGCCCAGTTTCTCTTCTTTAAATAGCAGCTACTACACTGGTCTAGCATGAACTGCTTGAGGTTGGTACCCGAGTGATTCTCATTGCTTTTTTAAGATGTTTGTTTGCCACTGTAATTTAAATTGCTTGGCAGGTGAGTTCTGGAGTGCCTGGGGTTAGAGGAGAAAAGGTTCTGTTTCCACCTGAGGAGCTGCAAAGCTCAGGCAGGAGCAGAAAGGGTTGAGGGGTCAGTCAGTGGCTCTGACCAAGTCAGTGCTGTAAAGCTGCTGCTTCCTCTTAATCCTCTTGGACCCTCTCTCTCCTCCCTGGCAGGATTGTCTGTGATAGATGTAATTAGAGCAGCAGCAGCACAGACAGTGCAGCTCTGCTGATCCCTGCCCTGGGTTTGCTGGCAGGGCTTCCTGGGAATAGATGTGATTTCCACGGTACTTTGTGAAACAGGTGGTTGTCAAACTGGACAGCAGGGACATTGTCCAGGAGTTCCTGTGCCTGTAAAACCCCACCATCAGCACTCATCCACCACACATGGGCTGGACTGTTCCAGAAGGTTTGGGAGCAAATCCTGTGGCTTAACCTGCCCTTCCCTTTATGGAGCTGTGAATATAGAGAGGGTGCAGTGGGAGAAAAGAAAATACTTTAGTGGCTACGTTAAACTAGATCCTTCCATCAGCTCTGGCTGTTGTGGCTGCTGTTTCATTTTCCCATGGAGAAAAGTCAGATTTTAAGGTTTGGACACCCATGATGGATGGTTTCTATGGGGAAGTGGAAGTCTGTTGCTGGCATCTGCAAATTGCAAGTTGTTTGTCTTCCCAGTCATACCTGGCTCCTGGAGATGCATTAAATAGGTGTTTTCTTTGAGAATTTTGCTGGTAGGAGAAGAAATAAAGGAAGGAAAGAAGGAAGGAAGGAAAGGAAGGAAGGAAAGAAGGAAGGGAAGGGAAGAAGGAAGGAGGGAAAGAAGGAAGGAAAGGAAGGAAGGAAAGAAGGAAGGAAAGGAAAGAAGGAAGGAAAGGAAAGAAGGAAGGAAAGAAGAAAGGAAAGGAAAGAAGGAAGGAAAGAAGGAAGGAAAGGAAAGAAGGAAGGAAAGGAAAGAAGGAAGGAAAGGAAAGAAGGAAGGAAAGGAAAGGAAAGAAGGAAGGAAAGGAAAGAAGGAAGGAAAGGAAAGAAAGAAGGAAAGGAAGGAAGGAAAGAAAGAAAGAAGGAAGGAAGGAAAGAAGGAAACTGGGAGCAGAGGGACAGTGAGACCTGGCAGCCAGCATGCAGGGGCTGCTGTGGCTGTGGTCGGTCCCTGCTGGACTATTTTGGGCTGCAAAGGTTTCAGGGCTCACAGCAGCCATGGGTTGGAACAGAGCAGAGTAACCTGTGCTGTGAGCACAGTGAAGCAGAGCAGGGAATGAGGAGGATGTCCTTAGCTGGGAATTACTTGGAGCCGTCACAGGAGCCTGTGAAGGGTGACGTGGAGGCAGTGGCTGTGTGTGGCTCTTGGCAGATGATGAATGCAGCCTGCTGATACAAACACAATTAGGTGATGTCTAGGAAAAGTGCTGGCTTTGTTCTGTGCCTGCTCTGCTCAAGCAGTGCAGGGACCTGAGTGGGAGTGTGTGCCCTCAGCACCAAGCCCTGTGCCCCCCCAGGGCTGTGACAGTGACACCAGCAGCACTGTGTGCCCGGCTGAGAGCCCCTGTGCAGCTGAACCTGGTGCTTTCTGCTGGCTGCAAACGTCCCTGTTTGGGTGGGTCTGGCCATCTGCACTCTGAGTTTTGGCACTGCCAGTCGCTCCCATGTCGTTCCCCCGTGGGGTTGGTCAGGTTTAATTGTGCTGTGTATCGAGCTGCAGATGCTTTAAAAAGAGGGAGCACATTTAAAAAGCACTTCATTTCCCCCTCTCTGTCCACTGTGACCTTCAAAGTTGGAGGAACCCTCCAGGGCATGGTGGCCACGGTCCAAGGAGAGAAAGCCCAGCCTGCTGCTGGCATTAAACTCCCGGGAATCAGGCTGGAACATGAGGCGAGAGGATTTCCCAGTATTTCCTACTGTGACCTTCAGAGCCGTACAAATGTTAGTATTAAACTTATTAGAGCAGAGGCCTTTCTGTGACCCTGCAGGGATAACTCCCCCCACCCTCCCCCCTTGGCTTTTTTTGGAGGCAGGACAGTGATGCTGATATGTGGTGCTGAGCCACAGAGACGGGACAAGGAGTGATGGGTGCAAATTGAAATTCAGGTTGGGTGTTAGGGAGGAATTCTTTACTGTGTGGTGGTGTGACAGGTTATGTGACAGGTTACCCAGGGAGGCTGTGGATGCCACATCCCTGGAAGTGTTCAAAGCCAGGCTGGATGTTGGAGCAACCTGGTCTGGTGGAAGGTGTCCCTGCCCGTGGCAGGGGGTGGAACTGGGTGGTGTTTAAGGTCCATTCCAGTGTGATTCTATGATATCCCCCCTCCAGCCAGGGAGAGAGGGACGCAGCCCAGGGGTCACCGGAGCCCCGGGGAGCGGGAGGAGCCCTGCACGCCCCGGGGCCGGGGGAGGTGGCCGCGCATGCCTGTGCCGGCCGTGCCCCCCGCCCGGGCTGCTCCAGCATCCTCGGCATCCTCCTCCCGCCCGGGATCCGCGCCCCGCATCCCGCGGGAACAAAGAGCGGCGGCCGCGCCCCGCGCGGGGCACCTGCTGCTGCTGCTGCTGCTGCTGCTGCTGCTCCGCATCCTCCCGCATCCTCCCGCCTCCGCCCGCCCGCGCATCATCCTCCCGCACCCGCGGCCCCAGCGCATCCTCCTCCTCCCGCAGCGCCGGCCGCGCCCCGCGGAGCCCGGCGGAGCTGTCCGGCCCCGGGCTCTGTCCGTGGTGCTGCCGCCGCCCCCCAAGCCCTGCCCTCGCCCGGAGCTCGGGGCCACCGCGATCCGCCGCCCGCCCGCGCCTCCCCAGCGCGCCCGCGGCTCCCGCTCGCCCGGCATCCTGTTGCGCCGGGTCCGCGGCGAGGAGCGGAGCAGCATCTTCGCGGAGGAGCCTCTGCCCAGGCTGAGCGCTCGGAACAATGGCTGCGCTGCCGCCGATGCTCTGGGCGTCCTCGCTCGTGCTGGTGCTCTGGGGTAGGTGCTTCCATTCCCACATCTCCTAAGGACGCTGCTTTAAATTTCCTAGCGGGGCTCCCTTCGCGCTGCTTTCCGAGCGGCTTTTATTTTGTTTTGGTTTGTTTTGTTTACAAGAGAAGGGAATTACGTTCGTGCAGAGTTGGTGTGAATGTGACGGAGTTGGTACGAGCAGAGAAAACACCTCGGTGCTGAGGGGACTCACGGCACAAAGCATGTGCGTGTCCTCTGCTGTTTGCTGTTGTTTGGAAATTTGCATTGTAATTTAACGTTTAGTCGCCTTCAGGGAGGGTGTGCAGAGCATTAAGCCGTGTGTTGGTGCTTAGTTTCCGTGTAGTCTGTACAAACTGGAGTAAATCAGTTTATTGCAATTGCAACTGCCACAGGGAAAGGTGGGTTGGTCTTGCCAACACGGCCACATTTTGATGTGCACGTCCCTCCAGCCCTGTGTGTTGGGTCCATGTCTGTGTGTGTGTGTGTTTGTGTGCATCTGATTTTACTGGAATAAAGCATGATCCTGTAGCTTTTCCTTATTTCTCCCTGAAAGCTGGTGCTACTCATGGAGCTGGTAGTACGGGAGAATTGGAATCAGGCTGTTTCCAGGAATAGTTCCCGGGATCATACAGTGCTCCAGAGAGTGGGTTAATGGTGTCTCTGAGGCTGGGGAGGAGGGAGCAGCCAGCAAAGTCAGCGTCTGGGCTCTGGAGACAGGCTTGGGCAGACAGAGCCCAGTATTGTTTAGCCCAGGGGACAAATGTCAGCAGGGATTTGGGCTGAGACGTTGTGCTGAAACGATCCTTTCCTGCCCAAGTCTGTGCTTTCACATGCAACGATTTTGCCCTTCTTTGCAAGAGCAGTAGCTGAGAGTTTCCAGCATTAGCACAGACCTGATTGGAAGCATTTTGAGCAGGAATGCATGTGAAATCAATAACTCCTCCTGCTGCCAAATTCACTCATGTCCAAGCCCCTTGGTTCCCAGTACTGCCCAGGAAGCCCAGAGACAGCAAGGGTGGCAAATCTTCACGGATTCTGAACACATTGATGGATTAAAGCATCCAGACCTTTTAACTTAGCACAAAGAGCGAGCTGTTCCTCCCCACTGGAATTCTGGGCTTTCCCTCACCCCAGACTGTAATTGCTGCTGGAACAGGAGCATGCTCAGCACGCATGGGAGGGAACGAACAATGCCTTTAAAGTGGCATTAATTACGAGGGGAGAGATGAAAGTTGTGGCAAAGGAGATGCTGGAGAGGTGAATCTGTGTGAAGTGATCAGCCTCAGTTAATTATTATGAATTATTAATATCTCAGAGAAGGAAGCTTGGTAAAATTTGACATTTGAGACTTAATCTGTTGTCAGACGGTGCTGGTAATGAATCAAACCATTTTCCATGGGGGATGAGGATGTGATCATAAATGCTAAGATGTGGATGAATGATGTCTCTCTAATTCTGTCTTAACACTACTTCTCTGCTGCTCCTTTCCCCCAGCTGGTGTTTGTTCTGCAGTCTGTGTTGAAGTCCCATCTGAGACAGAGGCTGTCCAAGGAACAGACATGAAGCTGCTCTGCATCTCCTGCATGAAGAGGGAAGAGGTCACGGCCAGCACGGTGGTGGAATGGTACTACAGGCCCGAGGGTGGAAAGGATGAACTCGTATGTATGTTTGGGAACTTGTTTTCATAGGTCTTACAGTGAGACACAGCCCAGTGAACTCGTGTGGGAGAAGCCAAGAGGTATTTGTGGGAGTGTAAGTTTGTCCTGGGGCAGGATCTCCAGAAGGAAGACTGTGCAAGGGAGGGAGAGAGACCCAGATCTGAACAAAAGCTGTCTGCCACATTCTGATTCCAAGTCTATAGAAATGCCCCACGGGCTGCTTTCCTATCTTGGCAGAGAGACGAGCTTGGAGTTCAGCTCTGAGCTGCAGGTCTTCACAATTTCTGCAGCATTTTCACCCAGCACCAATTTTGAACAGCAATTAAAGTGTCTTTTCCTTGCTTAGCCCATTTTCACGCTTGGGCACAGCATGAACCCATGGCAAGAAAAGTTAGAATCTGTTCCAGAGTTCAAACATTTGGGTCATGGATACATGAATGCCAGTTTCCAGTTCATTCCTTGAATACCTCAGGTCCAGTATCTAAGGATATCAAGAAGGGAAGCAGAAGTATGGAGTGACACTTGGTACCCTTGGCCAGGTCTGAATCCCTTCTAAACTCCAAAGCTGTTCTTTTGGAAGGTAAATTGGCCTCCAAGAAAACTGCAGGACAGGATTTACTTTATTTTGCCTCAGAGAAAGTGGTGTGATGCTGACCGTGGGAGGATCTCTGGGGCTGGTTTTGGATCCCTGTCAGGAAAAGGTGAAATCCATTTCCAGAGTGAATCAAAATGGAAATTGCACAGATGGGGGGCAACTGGGATGCAAGAAAGGATGGTGAAATGGAGGCAAAGCTGAGTGCACATTTCTTTCTAGCTATTTTATCTGAGTATGGAGCATTAGATCAGTGGCTGCATTTCATCTTGATTGAGCAGGGCCAGGCAAGATGACAAATATTCTCCTTCTGTCTGACAACTAAAGGGACCACGCTAAGGGAGTGGGGATGGGGATTCACTTTCAGGGTGATATATTTATTTACCAGTGGCAACCCAAAGAATGCCAATGGAGGTGAACTGGGACAGGCAGTGTAATGATGGGGACGGTGGTCAGCCAGAATATCCCACTGTCATATTTATCCTTCATCTCAGCCCAATATCCCAGGGCTTCCCGAAAATGACTGTTTATCTTTGCTGTAAATATTCTGTGGTTCTTTCTCAAGATGATCTTATGTGCAGGGGTTGACAGGCACAAAGACTGCAGGATCCTGGTTTTTAGTTCCATTGCTGCTTTTTTGTGTCACTGTCCACGTGTGCCAGTGATTTTCTGTGCCTCAGTTTTTCTGCCCCTGTGATGGAGATGCCAGTTTTCGGATAATTCAATTCTCTGTCTTTTCTAAAGTCGCCTGATATTTTGAGGTAAAGGATGATGGAATATGAATAGCTGCTGTTACTAAGGGAGCCCAGAACATCCATGGGTGTAGCTAGAGGGGGATGCTGTTCCTGTCAGTGATTAACCAGAGTTCCCTTTCACATTCCCTCACAGATCTACGAGCACAAGAAAACCAACCAAGAACTTCAGACCCGCTTCAGCGGTCGGATACAGTGGAACGGGAGCAAAGACATGCAGGACGTGTCCATCACCGTGGTGAACGTGACCCTGAACGACTCTGGGATCTACACCTGTAACATCACCCGGGAGTTCGAGTTCGAGATCCACCGGCCCCTCTTCACCAGCTCCCGGCTCATCCACCTCACCGTGGTGGAGGAGGGTAGGACGGGCTGGCTGGGAGTGTGTTGTGCCGCCTCTGGCCGTGGGTGTTGTCCTGCAGGGATGGGGTTTGCCGTGGCACCGCAGGAGAGGGTGGCTGAGCCGCCACACAGTCCGTCTGTCCTTGCCAAGCACTGCACAGGGTTCAACAGGACGGACCTGCCCGCTGTTTTTTGGCTGTGTGTGAGCGTGGGGAGGCACAGCCAGCCCGGCAGGCCGGGGCACAGCTGGGCACAGCTGGGCAGGCGCAAGCAGGGGTTTCCAGCTCCTCCTGCGGCGGCTCTGGGATGCTACAGCACCGCCTTTCCCAGGGAGCCGCAGCCTTTCCTTGCTGCCGCCCCCTCCCTGCGGGAACGACTCATTCTCCATTTTGATATCACTCTCTTTGCTTCCACCCTCCTTCCCTCTCCGCTGCTCCTGAGTCTTTCTGTTCCTCTCGGGTTTGCTGGGTTTAGCCTGAAACCCCGGCTTGCTAGAGAACAGTGGGAATTCTGCTGTTCCTTCAGAGCTTTCAGCCCTCCTTTTTTCCTGCTGTGTGTTCCCCTCCCTCTTCCCCACAAGCATCTCTGTGTTTTGATCTCAAGTAGCACCAGCGAGTAGGATGCAGGGGGGAAACAGAGCGTGAGGATGAGACAGGCCAAGGGTGAGCAATCCGTGTGGATGTGGGGGTGGCACAGAACGTGAGGAACACACCAGGCTGTGCGTGTCTGATCCCACTGGAGACACCTGGTGGGATTGCTGCTCTTGGCAGCCTCTCCTGGTCCCTCTCTTTTACCCCCTCACAGCATAGTGGCACTTGGATATCTCTAGCAAGGCAGGTTAGGAAGGATGACACAAGGGTGGGACGTGTCCGTGGAGCTGCTGTGCTCCTATAATCAGAGATTGTTTCATTTTCTTGAACAGCTGGAGAAGACTTCACCTCTGTCATCTCAGAAATTATGATGTATATTCTGCTGGTCTTCCTCACCCTGTGGCTGCTGATAGAAATGGTCTATTGCTACAGGAAAGTCTCCAAGGCAGAGGAGGCTGCCCAGGAAAACGCGTAAGTGTGGAATCTCTGGAGGTCCCAGTTGTTTTGCCAGGGTTCTTCAGATGCCCCAGGCCAGATCAGGCTGCAAGAAAACTGAACCTTGCTATTGCATGGTCTAGTTGGTGTCCAAAATCCTGGTAATGTTTAGGAATACCAAGAGACACTTCCACAATGGAGTGGAAGCCACACTGTGGTATCCCAGGGTGGCCTGGTTTGGACTGCGTGGAGATGCTCTCCTGGAAGGGCTGGTTTCTTGCTGGCCCATTCCCATCATTCTCCACACTTGGCATGGATAAGGGTGCTCTTTGTACATAGTAGGAAGGCTGCATGTGTAGGATTTTCCAGCAGGGAAGACTGTGTTTGCTCCTGACTATGCCAAGGGGAGTTTCCTGCCACGAGCATCTTCTACAGGTGACGTTTTGTCACCTCAGAGACACCTCCAGGTGAATGGACCCAAACTGGCTTTTGCACTGTAGCACTTGAGGTTATGCTTTCCTCCTTCCCTTTCAACTACAGGACAGACTATCTCGCGATTCCATCAGAAAACAAGGAAAACTGTGCTGTGCCTGTGGAGGAATAGCAGAGAGGAGAGAGCAGAATGAACGGCACCAAGGTAGGGGATGAGGAAACTCAGTCACTGCTTGTGTGTGTCCACCTTCCAGCCTCCCTGAAGTGAGTCAGGTGCTGTAGGGCTGGAGAAAAGGTGGATGGGAGACTCCTGGAGCATGGCTGTGCTCCTCCTTTGGGCCTTAGAAGCAACACAGGTGCCTTTAGGTGGTGGGTGTAGTCATCCTGCTTTAAACCCCAAACCAACACACACATTCACTTTTATGATGGAATTACACCTCCTTTGCCCATTCCCATTGAGTTGGGAATCATCACCACCCCCTGCAGATGGGGAGCTGTGCCCACGAGGGCTGCCAGGGCTCCATCTCCAAAGGAAACATCTGCTAGGAAGGATTAAAACCTTTGAAATTCTTGCTCACGTCCTGTCAGCTGCTGTGCTGATCCCACTGCAGTCCTCACTTTGGTGAGGTCCAAGAGGGCTTCTCTCCCTTGCAGGGGCTCTGAAGACAGAAGGACCACGTCATTCCAGCCAGGTTTGAGGGGAGCTCTGCGCCGCCGGGAGGAAACGCGGGGAAGTGTAAATTCTCTTCCATTTGCCTTGGACTCTGTACAGCCTTGACTTTGGTCTCATGACTCCATCCTGAGCTGCCAGCCCATTGCTGAAGGACTCTTCTGTTGAAGCATGCTGAGCAAAAGGCACAGGGGTGTGGGCAGCACGGCTCCTTCCCAAGTTTCAGTTCCATCATCACCTCAATGGCTTTGTAAATGTTACGTGTCATTCCTTAGCTGCTGTCACCACCACCTTTATTTGCTAAATATGCTAGTTCTCCATTGCAGAGCTAAAGGGTATGGATGTCATGTCACTCTGACCTGCAGGACTGGGGATGAGGGCATTTTAGGGTGATGTTCCACCACGTATTGCAGACTAAACAGTCTTATTGGTGTTAAAACAGGAAGAATTTAATTAATTAGCTGCTTGGTAAATTGATCTGGACTTTGAGCTGCCCATGCACAGGCAGAGTAGGGTGGCACTGTAAAGCACTAAAATAGTTAAAAATGTACAGTAGGAAGGAGGGGCCCCTGTGCCTGGAGGCACCTGGTTCTGGAGGGAATTGAGAACAGATCCTGAAATATTCCTGCTTTGGGAGGCAGGATGATGTAAGTCTGAGAATCCCCTGTGTCCCTCCTTTCATTTAGCAAGTGTCAATATTCTCAGCTCCTTCCATCTGCCTTGCACAGCAGGTTTACTCCTGGAGTACACAGACACACACTGGTAGGAGTAACCTGTGGAGCCACGTCCTGCAACAGCAACCAGGCAAGTAGGACAAGGTATGGGATCCACCTCCTTCTGGGAAATCCCAGGAAGGAAGGCAGCCTCATGCAAGAGAAATAACCAGGAGGCAAAGCCCTCACAGGACAAGGACAACACCTTAGTGAAATAGTTGTACATCTTACACTGTGACAGCTCTCTCATGCTACAGCACAGCACCATCTAGAGGGACAGACAGAAAACACCCATTTTTCCCAGTTAGTCCTAATTCTTTCTTGTGCTAATTGCTCACTGGTTTGAATAGTCAGCATTCATCCTAAATGACCCCCTGCTGCCCAGGAATCACGCTCTAAATTCCCTCTTTCCTATGCAAACTTACCTTTTCAGAGGGTTAAGCAGAGTAGAATTTGTTTTCTGGCCTCCCACGTAGATCAGTTGAGCTCAACAACTGGGATTGGAAGGGGGGAAAAAGGCAGAAAGATTGGCCAGGGTGAAATTGTACCTTAAAGTGGGGGAGGTTTGGTTTTGTCCTATGGCAGATGTTACATCCCTGCTGCAATGGAGCCTGTACTGCTTGCTAGAGTTGACAAATTTTGCTACACTGATGCTTCCAAGTAGTTCCAAAGTGCTTGTGACTCCAGGCATGCTTCCCACCTATGGAATTCCCTCTGCTTTGTTCTGCTGCTTTTTATGTGTTTGCTAAAAATCACGGAAATTACTCCATTTGTAAGTCAGGCCCAGGCCAGATTTCTAACTGGCAGTTGTTCAACAGTCCTTTTTTTAGAGTGGGTGTCTAGTAAACTACTACAGTGCAGTAGGATTGCTCCCAAATCCAGAGCCAAGCCTGGCAACTGGAGCACACTTTCCACTTGTAGTCTGGGCACTGGTTCCCTAAAACCTCATATCCAAAAGGGGAAGGAAAGCAGCCCCTCTTCGAGTTCAGCTGGATGTTATCATTTTCCCTACAATGATTTGCCTGCATTATCCCAACTCCAAACCCACAGCAACAGAGGAGGGAGTAGATTGTAACTCCAGAGTTTCCAGCACTGACCACGGCGTTGAACCCACGGAGATTTTTTTTTGTAGGTAAGGTCACAAAACTTCTCTCCCACTTCAGCTCTGCTCCTCAGCCCCTGTGAAGCACTGAAAACCCTCTGGTTAAGTCAAAAAAGGAGTAAACTAAGAACTTCTCGAGAGCTACCTCAGGTGGTAAAGAAGGGCCGTCCCCTCGTCCTGCACTTCCCTGTATCCCACACGCATCTCCCGGAGATGCTTTATCCTTTTTTTTGGGACACATCTTTCACTTTTCCAGTTCCTGCAGACAGATGTGGTGTTGTAGGCAGGAGAAAAACAACGTGCAAAGTTTTGCTGGAGAATCTCACAGGAAAAAAGAGTAACAACTGAAAAACTGGGGTGGGTTTCAAGGCTGGTGGTAAAGGTTGGTCTCTGCAAAGACTCTCTGTGTTCAGACACGACAGGAGAGACTCCAGAACAGGCAGGATAATAAAGAGAACAAAGACTCACACTGTCTGGTTGATAGAGTTTTTAATTGATACCGTACTTCCATGTACTAGCTACTTACACCAGGTTTGGCTGCAGAGCCTTTACAGTTCCTAGAGGTCCTAGCAGGTCATTCCAGCAGCGTTTCACCGCGGTTTGCGCACAGCGCAAAGGTCCCGACAGTCACACCACGCCTAAAACAAACCCACTGGGGGCCTTCCCCCACCCCACAGTTCACACCTCAGTGCTCCAGCCCCCCCCCCCCGTTCCCAGGCTCTGGTGGCGAATTCCAGGAGGGAAGTGCAGGACCCACTCCCTCGTTAGTCTGCAGTTACAGCGATTCAGGGGTCCGGGTGGGGAGGACACGCTCCAGGTTTTTTAGCAGCTTTATCCAGGCCTGGAGCAGGTGATGGGAGACGAACTGCCACGGGAATGGGGACGTCCCAGAGGTGCCACAGCCACGCGAGGCCACTCCTGGGCGGTTGTGCTGCTCTGCTGCTCCTCCCTCCCTCCGTGTCCAGAGCCAGGTCAGTGCCTCCATCTCTGCTCTGTAAGTGCTATTCCACGGGAGGTGGGCTCGTGGAGACGGGAATGACGCCTGTGGCACAGGCTCCACCCCTCTCCCTGCTGGAGAAAGCTGCTGTTTTGTAACAGCCGCTCTCCAGAATCCCAATTCCGAAACGGAGACACCACCACACGGCTCTAGAACCTGAGCTGCACATTGGTTTTATTCCCTAACTATTCTGGGAGTCTGGGATGGGGAAGGTGGCCTTTAACGTTAGCAATGGAATTGGCCTAAATGAGTGAGGTAACAGAAACGGCCAGAGGAGGAACCTCCCTGAGCCATGTGCAAATATAATTCCTTCAGCAGAAGGAAGTCCTTTTCCCTACTGAAAAAAAACAATAAAAATTAAAACACATTCACTTAAAGAGCATACAGACTGCAGGAGGGAAAGGCAGGCAGGGACAGCACCAGGTCAGTCCATCTATGACACAGGGAATGATTGTCCAGCAGCAGAGGTTTGAGGGGAGAGGGAAAAGCCATAGCAAGCACTGCAAAACGTGGGAGAGGAGGGCATGGCACACCACGTACCCATGCTAAGGGATAAGCCCATGCTGTCTGCCTAGATCAGGGAATGGCCTCAACCAGCAGTCCATCAAGACACGAGGAGATTATTTGGCTAGTGTGCACATCTAGAAAAAGGAAGGTATTATGGCACAGAGAGACTCGTGCTGTGGAGACTGAAGCACAGAGAGCAGAGCGTGTCCGGGGGAGACGGGCTGGAACATCACAGGAACTACATGAGACAGCTGCTCTGTGAGCCACTCACCTCGGGGGCTTTGGTTTGAGAGTCTCTGCTTCGAGTTTTGTGTTGAGCAAGCCCCTGCCAGGAGATTTAACTAGTGCTGAGACTGGCTGAAAAGACTAAGTCAGAGAGTCCACGTGACTGCGCCATGGAACGTGTCCGTGGCAGCAACCCTGGCAGGGATCCCACCAGGAGATCTCCTGGAGTTGAGCAAGGATCTGTCAAGAGCTGTGGGATGACAGCAGCTGGCTGGGAAAACAGGATGGAATTGCTTCCCCCTGAGCCAGGCACTGTTCCTTCGAACAGCAATTTTTCAGACTGATTTTCTGCACACTGTGGAAGCAGAAAGTTCCACCTCTGAATGAGGAAGTGGTTTGTTTCTGTCCTCACTGGGAAAAGCACACACTGACTGACAGAGTGCTCCTGGTTAGAACAGTTAGTGCAGCAAATCCAAAAGGTCTTGATCAAGTACCCAGACCAAAAGTGTCTCCAGTCACTACCTGGAAAAGGAATTTCTACCTTCTTGTATAAAGGTAAGAAAAAGTTTCTTATGTAGGACACATGGACAGTGCTGAGGAGGCAAGCAGGCTGAAAAGCCTGTCCCCATCTACACCCAGATGAGCTGCTGAACAGGGTCTGCCTGATAAGAACCCAGATCAGCATTCCAAAATCAGCATTCCAGCTTTCCTAGAGGGGATATGCCAATGCAAGGCATCATTATTTCAGAGCCTGTTTTGTGCCAGGGCTTCAAATCCAGCAAAGCTTCGTGCTCTGAAACCCTTCCCTTTTTAATACAGGCTCATGTTGCACTAAAGGCATGGTGCACATCTCTGAGGTTTGTCTTTATTAGATCTAAAGCAGACAAGAGGGCTCAGGTGTCACCCAGCAGACAGGCACAGCCTGAGCTGTGTGTAAATGCAGCAGTTCAGGTGTGTTAGGGGAGATCAAAGCCCCGTGACTTCTTTTTTTTTCTCTTCTCCCAAAGGACTTGAGGGAGCCAGAAAGGATTTATGCAGAAGTTGGTATATGTTAATATCAATTAATATCAAAGTTTTGTGACTGAAGCGTGCCTGGGGTTATCAGCTAACTGCAGAGCACCCAAAAACATGGTTATCCTGTTAATCCACAGCTCACTCCTCTCCTTACCACTGCAGGTACCTTCTTCTCTCCTAAGTGGAACGTGCAGCCCCAGCACTGCCCCTGTCTTGGGCATCTTACACCTGGAATAACCTGTCTTTTGGTCCTCCCCACACACAGGTGCTGCACTAGATACACTTGGTATCTACTGTAGGAATGCACAGCAGTTATCCAGGCCTCAAATCCAGCCTGAGCTCATCCCAGATGCCATAACCCCAACAGCTCCTTCAAGGTAAGCATTAGGTGTGTGTTCATCAGAGGTGAGGTCGTATCAAGCCAGGATTAGTGAGTTATGCCCCTTCTCCCATAAAAACAGATACCCAAACTGGCAGATTGAAGCCTCCTGCTCCCCCTTCTCCCTCCTCCCATTAGGGAACATCTCACTTGGCAGGAATTGGGCTCCCAGCTGCTGGCATTAGTTTGCATGCCTGGCTGGAGAAATGCCTTTCTAAAAACTCCTGGTTTTTTTATTGTTCCTATCCTGCAAATCAAACCCCAGCTGTGCTCACCTGGCAGATGTGCAGGGTGGGAAGGTCAGAGGGAGGGTTGGGCAGGGAAATGTGTCTGCTACGAAAATAATGTGAGACTTCTGGCAAAAAATGTGGGATTTCTTCCATCCTGACAGTGGAAGCCAAGCTATGACTTGGCTGTGATGCTGAGGGAAGTATCACCCCCTGGAACACTATTCAGTTTGCTCAACCTCACTCCTAAAAAGCATTGCTGATTTCTCCAGGAAATACAATCATGGTCCCAAACTGTCTCTGGCTCCAGAAGGAATTAACCTGTCAACTGGGACTGATCAGGAGCAGGTGATTCCTGTCACAGCTTTCTACACAAAGGCATCTAAGTGAAAATACCCCCAGGTTTTGTTTAAGCCCTCACCTTTAATCTGAGTTTTGTTTGAGCCCTCACCTTTAGTGCCATTGTGGGTTTTGCCTTAAGAAAAAGACCTTGCTTTTCCCCTTTTTTATTATTACTGTGATAAATTAAGAGGCAACAAAAGATCAGGCATCCTATCCAACTCCAAGCCAAGTGGGAAAAAGAAAGCCAATAACTAGAAATCTTGAGAAAAAGAACCCTAAGGCCTCAAAGACAAACCTCCCTCTGTCTGAAGGATGCTGCAGGTACAAGGTTCTGGTTGGTGCCCAGAAAAAAAGGGTTTAACGTTGTTGTGTGTCAGGAGAGGTGTCAGATGTTAAAAACCCAGTCTGATGTGCAGGTAGAATAAATATTAGTGCTTGAGATTGTTACAGCTGCCAGTGCAGCCTCACATTAATTTAACAGAGCTTGTGCAAGGCTGTCCCTGGGGCCCAGCCTGATGGAGGGAGGGAAGGAGGGAGTCAGAGGGAACAACCCAAGCCTAAAGCCATGGCTAAAGCTGGAAGGATGCTGCAGAGGAAGGATGCACTGATGAGGGAATGGATTTCTTGCCTCCCTAACTATAAAGAGAATGTGAAACTGGTGAGAAACCAACCCTGACCAGCAGCACTTGCTCGTGACCCCCTGGGACAGGTGGGTTTCTCTGCTCCTGACTGATCAAATCCACCTAAGGACAAACCCCTCCCAGCCAGGTGGAAGAGACCCCAACATCCCAGCTTTGTCTTTCAGGATGTTCCTTTTCCTTTCCTGGCATGGGCAAGGTGAACCACAGGGCCTCCTCTCTGTCCTCTTGCCTGGTGCTTGAAATTAAAGTCTAGAAAAAGGGGAAGATGGGCAGCAGGGGAATTTTCTGTGCTTAGCAATTGTGGGAGGGAGTAACGGGGGAAACAGGACTCTGGGACAGTCTGGCAAGTCACAGTGGGGAGTCAGGGCCCTCCTGTCCCAAGATGAGCCACAGAATGCCCTTCCCAGGCACTAGCACCTCAGTGTCATTGCAGAGCAGCCATTTCAGCAGCCTCCCTGGCAAAAAGTCAGGGAGCAGTACAGTAGTCAGCAGCATTAAATTAAATAAATAGTCATAAATACACGTTACTCTCTAGTTTTTCCCCAATTGTACCTTGCTTTCACAGTCTTAAATGTCTTTTTGATAACCTGTCTTCATCCACACTCCTTCCCATGTGAGTCTTCTGTGGGACATGTGTTTAGCACTTGGTCATGGAATTTGGAGGCAGGTTGGGAGAAAGCAGCAGGTTGGTCACTCCTACATATATTACCTTTCCCTAAATGGAAACTGGGAGCTTGAGAGCGTTTTAGAAGCCACTTTGTCACCCAGTTGTGAGGATGAGAGTTTACATGAGACCAATGACTCACCCTTGTGTTCCCTGCCCTTTCAGTGCCCACTGGAGACAACAGAGGAGCTACAGCTGCACCATTTCCACACTGGGAACTTGCAGCTGCCACTCAGAAGGTGGGAAAATCCTGCTGTTGGACAAGGTGGAGATGGAGGGCCTCACATGTCATCTAATCTGCCTGGCTGGGCAAGATGAAAAAGCATTTATTAAACACCCACACAAGCAGCCTCCAGCTCAACCAATCTCTGTGGGGCCTGGGACTCTGCACAGGGCAGCCCCACTGCCCCTCTTCCTCATGGGGCTACTCATGAGAGCCTGGAATTATCCCCCAGAACAACTACAAATACATATTGGCTTTTTAGTGCAGCTCTACCCCCTGACTGACTCACAGAGCAAATGCTTATGAGAGAAACCTTCAGATGCCTCACACACCATGGACACCCCCCAGCTCTCTCCTGCACCCACTGATGGTCCCTTTTCTCTTTTCTCCTTTTTTTTTTTGGTCCCTGTGACCCTTCCTGACCTCTCCTGGGTTTTTGGAAGCCTTGGTGCACACAGTTGCAGTCACAGATACCCACAGTGGTGGCTGTTGCTGCATAGCCACAAACATGTATTTATCCACAAAAATTTATCCCAGGGAAGGAAATCAAGTTATTTTTCTCACTAATGTTTTCCCACAGATTTTATAAGACAAGATACGAACAAAATGGTCTTGTAGACCAGGGGCAGGAGAGAGATTTGCTGAGCTGGGTAGTGGCTGCACATAAATCCTAATTTGGGGTTTCTTTTTCAGTTGGGGTACTCCCACCCTTGTGGGGAGCTGCCTGTTCAGCACAGATGCAGATTTTCAGCACAGGGATGGCTTAATGGCAGGGGCCCAAGCACATGGAAAGCAGAGAACTACAGCCAAGGTAAAGGGGACACTGTCACAGGGGTGGCCCTGCTCCACCCACACACCTTGGGGGCAGGTTCTCCCCTCCCCACCCTCTCCTCGCCTCTTCCTGCTGCACCAACAGCAAACTGGTGCTTGTGGACAGGATTTCAGCTCCTTTCCATCCTGGGCTTTGCTCTCCAAACCAGGCTGGCCCCTGGGACAGCCAACTGTGTTTCTGCACCCAGGGGTGCAGGAGGTGACTGCCAGGGAGACCCGCTCTCTGCAGACCTGGGGCAACTCTCCCCGAGGCCTCCTCTCCAAACGGGGGAACAGTTTTGCAAAGGGTTGACTGCCATGGCCAAACCCTCTCTGCCCTGAAGCCAGCAAGGTCAGGAAGTTTGACAGTGTCCCCTTTTTATGCAGAGATAAATACAGTCAACCAGGGACCCTCATTTGCGGGGAGGGGGCTGGGGAGGGGGGGGCACTCACGCTGATGCTTCCCTTTGGAACAACAAAAACTAAACAGACAGACAGACAGACAAACAGCCAGCAATATTACAGAGGAGCAGTGCAGGGCCCAGGGAGCAGCCCTGGGCTCGGCCCTAAGCACAGCTCAGTGCTGGGAGAGCACAGCCCTCCCACACACACACACATACACCCCCACTACCAGAGACACTCCAGTTCAGCCAGTGTTGGAGGTCAAAACCCTTCCCCTCGATGCGTAGGCTTTGTTTTGTTTTTTTTCTCTTAAAATCTGTATATAATATATATATTTATATTCTGTATATATATATATATATTTATATATATATTTATATATCCTATTTACACATATTGCACACCGTCCTCTGGCCTCCTGCATTCCTGCCTGTCAGTGGAAACGTTTCCGTTTCTCCTCTGGATCTGACCCGAAGTCCCGGGACCCGATGCCATTCTGAAGGTTTATTAGGGAATCCTTCATCTGCAAGACAAGAGATTTCCCCACTGTGATGCAACCCCAGAGGTGAGAGCTTCGGGATTTCCTTCTTTTCCCTGTGAAGTGTCCACACCAGATTCGATTTTGGGAGCAGGGCTGGGATGTACAAATGGGGACTGAGAAGGTGGGAGACTGTGAGGCACCTTTCTCCAAGAGAAGGGGTTAGAGAACGAGGTTCAGGAGGAGCAGCTCTGATTTGTGGACTATTTTCTCAGCAGCCTGCTGTACAAAAGGCTTTTTAGGCAGTGGATACTGCAACTTTGTGCTGTGAAGGGCCCATGCAGAGTGTGTTCCCTTCATCCACGAAACCTACGTGTGAATCCAGAGCTGAGGTAAAAAACAGTCTTTCTCCCAAACTGGGATGCCACAGACTAGATTCAAAATGTGCCAATGTAAGATTTTTTTGGCCCTGTAGAATTCTCTCCTCCTCCTGTGACAGAGAGGCTGCGGCACCCTGTGACAGCCCTTGGGACCTGCTGCCCACCACGAGGGGAGAAGATGGGTCTGAGGGAGACACCAGGGGAGGTGACACACCTGAGGGACCACAGTGGAGCCAGGGAATGCTGCAGGGTTGGGAGCAGGGGGTGGGAGGACAGAAGTCCTGGAGCAGGTCCAGAGGAGAGCAACAAGGCTGGGGAAGGGACTCGAGCACAAGTCCTATGAGGAGAGGCTGAGGGAGCTGGGGCTGTTCAGCCTGGAGAAGAGGAGGCTCAGGGGAGACCTCCTCACTCTCTACAACTCCCTGACAGGAGGGGGGAGCCAGGGGGGGTTGGTCTCTTTTCCCAGGCATCTCTCAACAAGACAAGAGGGTTCAGGGTCTTCAGCTGTGCCAGGGGAGGTTTAGGTTGGATATTAGGAAGAATTTCTTTCCAGAGAGGATGATCAGCCATTGGAATGGGCTGCCCAGGGAAGTGGTGGATTCTCCATTCCTGGAGGTGTTTAAGGTGAGACTGGATGTGGCATCAGTGCCATGGGCTGGGAACCACACCGGGGTTGGATCAAGGGTTGGGCTTGATGATCTCGGAGGTCCCTTCCAACCCAGATGATTCTATCATTCTATGACTCAGGTCACAGCCCTACCTGGCCGTGGGGTCTCACCTGGTCCAGCAGCATCACGGAGGATTTGATGATCTCCCGCCACTTCTGCAGCTCCGAGTCGTGGTACTTCTGCTGGGACTCCAGCAACTGGGCCCACTCTGTCTGAGACTGGGGCAACCTGGCAGCACAACACGGGCAAGAGTCACCCCGGGCAAACTGCAGTGGGTGTAACCAGCTTCTGGCTAAGCTTTTCACCCCAAAGGAGCACGTTTTCTTGAGCAAAAGCGCATTTAAACAGCTTGGAATTTTCATCAATTGGATTCCGTGGTTTGCTTTTTCTAGACATGCTCTGTCAGTCTTTATTCATTCCATGTAATTTGTTCAGGACTTTCTCTTTATTCTGAATTAAAGCTGCACTGGCTCTCTTTCCCATGGTTCTCTTCCTTCAGGCCCAATAACCCCCCCAGAACAGGGTGGGAGGCTGCTGAAGAGAGAGGAAGCAGGACAGATGGAAGCACTCAAGGGGCTTGGACAGGTTCAGATACTTCCACAAAAATCATGGATGCAACACAAAACTTACCTGTGTGGGGCAGGGAAAGATGTACCCATGCAATTCCTGAACATGCACATTACAGGATATAAGTTCTGTATTTAAATACTATATTGTAGTAGTCTAAACAAACACCAAGAGTACTAGAGAAAGATAAAATCACTTAAAGTATCTATAATCACCTAAAGTATCTATCCATGGGAAAGTAGCAGGGCTATTTCAGGGAAAATAATAATAATTCTCTAATAATACCTCTCCTGCAGCCTCAAGCCCTGCCACGCTGTGAGGGTCTGTGTAGTATATTCCAACATCCAGAGTTTGTAGAACAGCATCATGTTGAGAATGACCAGCAGCACCAGACTGGAAAGAAGGAGAACAGTCATTTAGCAGGAGCACTCCACAGCCCATGGCCAGGCACACCTGGGAAATGCCCGAGGCTTGAGAAGGTGTCTGAGGCCCAGGTCCACGCTGGATGTGAGTGGGAACTTAAATCTGAGTAAGGACCAGGTGGTCAGAACCCAAAACTGCACCTCGTGGAAGAAATGCGTGAGCAAGGAGGACAGAGAGACAGAAAGGCAGCGATGAGGGATCAGCCAGAACAGGTTGGATGGGTGGATGTGCTGAATGCAGAGAAAGAGAGGGAAATGGGAGAGTAAAGAGGTAAAAAAAGAGAGAGACAGTACCTGAAACAGATCCTAATGGGAGCAGGGAAGAGAAAAGACGGAGCAGCTGCAGGTTAGAAACGGACTGACACAGACCAGGAGAAACTGGGCTGAGAGAGGAGGCTCAGAGACAGTGCAGGAGGTACAGGGGGGCCAGGGGAGGAGAAAGGAACAGTGGGAAGAGAGGCAGGAAGGACAGACAAATACCCCTGTGCCTGCATTCCTGGTGCAATTCACCCAGCAAAGTTGAGCTGTGGCTCTGGGGGATGAGCCCCAAGCGTGCCCAGGAGGGCACTGTGACACACAGCCAGGCTGCACACAGCCAGCCTCAGCCCTTCCCAGCACTGCTGGCACTGGGAACACCCCCACAGCCAGACCCTGCACTGCTCCTCTCACCCACCACCTCCACCACACTCGGGCATTTCCTCTCCTCCTGGGGAACAGATTCCCAAAATACCAGGCTGGTGCCTGTCTCTGAACAGAGCAGCTGTTCTGCTGGAAGAATGACCCACTATCACCAGCTCAGTCAGGAGGAGGGCAGCTGGCCAGAGGAGTGTTCTGAAATCATTATCAGGGCTCTCTGACCTAAGTGAAGCTCACAGCCTGTCAGGAGAGGTTTTCATAAAGCTTTTTTGTACCTTTCTACTGTTTTCTTATCGCGACAGGACTTGACATCACCTTCCCAGCAACTGGGTGGGTTGCTGCTGCAAAACTCTGCAGTCAGTGCCCCCACTGGGAAAAGGAAACACAGAAAGGAGCTCAATTTGAACTCTGAGTTCAGTCTACAAATTCCAGCTTCTTCCCACCTCACTGAAAGGTGGCTGGAGCTTAAGGAAAGACTGAGCCCAAGGCAGAAAAAACCCCCTCTGTACCTGGATTGCTCCTTTAGTCTGTACTGCTGCAATAACACATGAAGCTCACCCAAGAGGCAGAGAACCAGCAGATACACCTGAGTTCAAGGATTAGACTGAGTCACAGGGATACAAGGGGCCCATTCCCAGCTCACTTGGAGCCCACATCCAAGTCCAAGACTAGCAACTGGGAAAGGCGTGGCAGAAAAGATACCCCACACCAAACACAGCTCTTGCTGCTGAACTAGGAAAATCAACCTCTTGTGATTCACGTTTCTATCCTTATTTTGAAGAAATAATCTCTAAAGGGTCCAGCTTCTTTTTGGGATGGTATCTCTCATCCAAATCACCACCCAGGACCAGACCCAAATAGGTTTTGCCAGACCAGAATTTCCCCACAGAATCTGAACCTTGTTGTGACAGACAATGGCTCCCAGAGAGCTTTGCCTTGTTCTTGATAACAGCTGATATGTGAGCAGAATACATTAAAAGACTTATTTTAAATGTAAAACACCCCATGGTTTATAGATGTCATTGAAAATCTCTAAACTGAGTCCCTGAAATAAAAAAGACTCTATCTATTTTTTCTCTTTTTTTTCCTCTTATTTTTTTTTCTCTCTTTCTGTGTTTCTTCTCTTTTAGGTATTGATGCCCCTCTCCTTGCACAGCTGCCCTGCTTGCAGTCATCACTGTCCCAAACACGTCCCAGACCTGCATTTAGGACTCCCAAAAACATGCAGGTCTACAAAGCCCACGTCTGGTTAAAAAGAAAGGGTGAACCTGAGCAGAAAGAAGGGAGCACAGAACACCAGAAATGCAGACAAACCAAAGCTGTTCAAGGCTGACTGTGAAAGAAAGCAAAAACCATCACTTACACAAAACTGATGACAAGGAGCAGCTTGGAGACACTCTGCAGGTGGAAGCCACTGGGGCTTTCCTCGGGGATGTGCCGTGTCTGAGTGGAACCTGAGGAGATGGATGCATTTAGGACAGGGAACGCTGTCCCTCATCCCTCCCACAGAATCAACCAGGTTGGAAAAGTCCTCTGAGATCATCGAGTTCAACCTGTGTCCCAACCCCACCCTGTCACCCAGACCATGGCACTGATGCCACATTCAGTCTGCTCTTTAACACCTCCAGGGATGGTGACTCCCCCCCCTCCCTGGGCAGCCCATTCCAACGCCTGATCCTTCCCAATGTCCAACTTCTTCCTAACGTCCAACTAAAACTAAAACTTCTTCCTCATGTCCAACCTAAACCTTCCCTGGTGCAGCTCAAGACCGAGCCCTCTTGTCCTACTGCTGGGAAAAGAGCCTGACCCCCACCTGGCTACACCCTCCTGTCAGGGATTTGTGGTCAGTGAGAAGGTCACCCCGAGCTTCCTCCTCTCCAGGATGAGCTCCCCCAGCTGCTCCTCACAGGACTTGTGCTCCATCCCTTCTCTGGAATCAACCCTCCCCGCCCAAACAACCACAACACCCCCTCCCCACCCTGGAAACCCCCCTGGCTCCTCTTCTCCCTGAGCAGGGCAAGCAGAGGTGTCTTTTCTGTCCCTCACCTGCCACGTGCTTGCTGCGGTGTGCCACCTCCTCGTCGGTGGGGGTGGTGACGGGGCTCAGCACCTCCTCCAGGTGTGGCACCCGCAGGTGGGCGTGGGCGCGTTTCCGGCGCCGCACCGTGGATTGCTTGCTCACCTTCTCCTTGGGGGATTGTCTGTGCACCTCGGCCAGGTACGTGCTCTCCGTCTTGGCCAGCTCGCTCTCTGTGCAGGCAGGAGGGGAATGTTTCAGGGATGTGGCACTCAGAGATGTTTCAGGGATGTTTCAGGGATTTAAGGCCTCTAACAGCGCAAAGAAGTTGGCAGGGGCTGAGAGACTGTGGTAGTTTAGTCTGGGCCTTCCTTGGTGACCAGTTTGTAACCAAGTTTGTAACCAATACCCAGTATTCCCTACGATTTTTATGTAAGCCAGGGTATAAGAAGAAAGGAGGAGAGGCCTTTGCCCTTCTTTCCTTCCAGCAGCTTTGGAGGTGCAGGTTTCCCTGCTGTTGAGTCTGTCGTGTTGGGGAGTGAGGCCTGGTGAGGCCTAGTGAGGCCTAGTGAGGCCTAGTGAGGCCTGGTAAGGCCTTGCCGACCTTGGGAGGCAGAATTTGCTGGCAGTTGTTCCAGCGGGACTTTCTGTTGTCCCAAGGAGAGTAGTGAGATATTCCTTTGCTAATTCTTTTAGTTGCTAGATCTTGGGCTATTGATTGTGTATATTTTATTTTGGTTTTGTTCCTTTTTTTTTCCTTCCCCCTTCCCTTTTCCTTTTGAAATTGTACATATATTTCAATTGTATATAAATGTAATATAAGTGTAAAATATTTATATATATTGCTTTAGCTGCCTCTCTCTCGTTTTGGTTCTCTTGGGTTTTTTTTCTCTTCTCCCTTGGTTTTGGGGGGGGCTTTGTGGTGAGCTTTGGAGACTTGGCAGGGAGCCAGCTTCAAACCACCTCAGAGACACGTTCCTTCCACCTCCTGCCAACCCCTGAGCCCAGACTGCCTGGCAGAGAGCAGGACTCACTGCCCTGGTTAATCCCAGCTGTGGTGGCCCCTTTTATAAGCCACTCCAAGGTGGGATCCCCAGGCTGCCATGCCGTGCCCAAATCACTGTAAGTGTAGACACCCTTCTGGAAGATTTGTAAGGAGGAGACGAGGGCTTGTTTCACTTAGGAAGCCTTTCCTGCCTAAGAAGAAACACCTTTTTCATGGATAATTTGAATGTTTTATCCTCTTGCCTTAAACACCTCCAGGGATGGTGACTCCACCTCCTCCCTGGGCAGCCCATTCCAAGGTCTGATCCTTCCCAATGTCCAACTTCTTCCTAACGTCCAACTAAAACTAAAACTTCTTCCTAGTGCCATTCTCTCTCTGAGATGAAGAGAGAGAAACTCACACAGGCTACAGGGCCTGGGGGGAGGCTAGCAAAGACAAAAAGCCTTGAAGAGAACAGGAGGCCTGTCTTTCTGAGGTAGTGCTTTTTCCTTTGCAAGCCCAGTGTTCTCAACTTGGAAATAAATTTTCCAGAACTCTTTCCACTGCCTGGCATTTCTGGGGTACATGTGTGTTATCCTGCTTCCCAACTACGGGAGGTGCCACTGTCTGCGTGTCACCACCACAGTCACTGCCACACTCTTACCCAAATGACGGAAATAATCCTCCAGGCCACTCCAAAAATTCTTCTCAATGAAGGATTTCACCAGCCCCCAAGGCTGCTTCCTGTAACGTAACTCCGTGGAAACCCTGTGAGAAGAAAGGAGGGTCATTCTCCCAAGTTTTGAAATATCAGCTCACAACCTCTGTCACTGTAAATACGAGAAATAATCCTGCACACTGTTATTTCTGGGATGGTCCCAGCCCTTTGTGTTTCTCAAGGAGAAGCACTGCATGGAGAGTCCTTCCAGCCTCTCCCAAAAGGACTCCACAGACATTTGGCCACGTGGCAGGCAGACATTTAGGCTACTTATTGAACTCTAAGTTCAGTCTACAAGTTCCAGCTTCTTCCCACCTCACTAAAAGGTGGCTGGAGCTTAAGGAAGGACTGAGTTTAAGTCAGAAAAATCCCCTCAGTACCCAGATTGCTCCTTTAGTCTGTACTGCAGCACTAACACATGAAGCTCACCCAAGAGGCAGAGAACCAGCAGATACACTTGGGTTTTAGTAGTAGACTTAAAAAGTCTACAGAAAAAGTCACAGAAAAGCCTATAGCTCTGCCTGATACCAAATTCCTCTGCTTCTCCCCTAAGTGCATCTCAGAGGTGCAATCCCTGGAAATATGTCCTGCTGCTTATCACAGGTAGTTGACTGCACATGACAACAGGCCCTGCAGACCACTGCTTCCAAGAAAAGGCAGGAGAAGTCTTTAAATCCTCTCCCTGACCCAGCTGGAACTCCCCTGCATCAGGTCTGACGTTTGCTTCATGTCATCCCAGCAGGAACCTGCCCCTGCTCTTTGTAACAGGAGAGTCCTCCTCAACCCCTTCCAACACACCAAAGAGCCAAACTCCCACTCCGAGGTGACTTTTTGGCCACCAGAAAAGCTCTTTTAATCCCCCCAAAAAGCGTACCTGAGTCGGCTTTTGTTTCTGGCAACACGAGTCAACGTGTAGCGGTTGATGGTGTAGAAATAATCGTGGTAGGGGACGTCGTGGGTTAGCACCTCTGCATCTATGACATAGCACTCGCTCTCCTGGCTGGCTTTGTACATTGTCTGCAGAAAAAAGACAGCATGCAAGGCAACTATTAGTGTTGTCAGAACACAGCTCTGATGGACGGCACCGGCACAAAACAGCTCCACCACAAACACACACACACCCACGGTCCTGCCCCAGCTCACCCCCAAGGGAAGGCAGACTCCAGGAAACCGAGTGTTTCACCCAGATGTTTCCCAAGGGTGTATTTCAAAAGGGCTTTAAAGTTCCAGTAGCTCAACCTCCAGTGTTTTGTAACAGAGATGAGGAGCAGTTCTTTGGGACCTTTGCAAGTATGGTCTCTGTTCTAATGTCTGGCTTGTCAGGGACCAACCTGAGCCACAGCCAGACATGGTCCTGCTTTGAGCAGAGGCCTCTCTAGCATAAATTATTCTGTGATTCTGAACGCCATAAAAACATGTTAATTACTTCTTTTAAGTGCTTCTGATCTGCTTCTTTCTTTGCTCCAGAACAAACCTCACGAAGAAGACACAGTTAATTGCAGCCCTGCTCCCCCCTCACATACCTGTGTCTCTGTGACAGTGGCAGTTTTGGGGGCCAGAGGGTTGGTGAGGGTAATGGTATACAGGATCACTCTGGTCTGATTGCCATTTTCTTCCTTCTTCCAGGGATTAAAGATAATATCTGAGGGGACAAAACAATATTCCAGTTAAGTTATCAGAGAGGGATCTCTGGTCATTCCCTAGGGAAAGGCATAACAAGCTTGGGACAGTATTTCCTTGCCCTGGTTGCAGAAGCACTAGAGCTCAGCAGATTGTGAAAGAAAGGGCTCCTGAGCTAAATGGGAATATTTTCCCTTCTTTGAAGCGCAGGGAAAGTGGGAGAGGCTGGGAACAGATCTCCTTCAGCAAACCTACAGTCACAGGGAAAGGGAACCACAACATACCAAGGGACACTCTCTGCACCATCAAGTGCAGTGTCTGGTGTGGAGCCAGAAGAGCTTTCTCCTCACACTGCTAAGCCTTGAGCACAGGGTCAGGCCTTAGCTGATGCAAAAAAATAGGAGGGTCTGCTTCTTCCATGAATTTTGCTGCTAGAAAATGAAACTAGAAGGGCAAGCAAGGCTGGTTCTGCCTGCTTTTGATTACTGACAGCACAGACTGCACTGTCCCAAAATCTGCTCAGAACGTTACCCAATCCCTCCGTCAGGCAAAGATACACCTCCGAGGCAGAGATTTTCCTTCTGCCTTGTGCCTTGGCAGGGACCACAGGAGGCTCCCCAGGGACCACAGGAGGCTCCCCAGGGACCACAGGCTCACCAGAGAACCGGCGCTGCTCCATGAAGTCCCTCTGGAACTGGGAGTCTGTGAAGAGCAGGTCGTAGAGCTTGTCCACGCTGAAGTTGAACACCTCGTTCACGTACTGGCGGCCATTCAGGTCCTCGTAAAAGGCCTGGACTTCCCCTGTGGGGAAACAGGCCCCCATTTCTGAAAACTTTACACCTGTGAACCAATTTTCTACCTGTGAATATTCAGCCTTGACAGATCTGTCCCCCAGGATCATGGGGGCTGTGTTTCCACAGCACCAGGGCCTCAGTATTTTACCTTGTGAAGAAGGAAGAAGAGGGACTTCTAACCCCTTTTCCTCCACTGATGCCAGGACAACAGTTGGGATATCAGAAGGGGTAATCGCCTCCATAGCTTATTTTAGGGATATCCTTCCAAATACCCCACACATCCAATTTCTGCAGCCCAGAAATGGGGATTCTTTGCACCTTCTGAACCCCAGAAAAGGAATCCAGTGTTTGCCACTCCAGTCCCTCACTAGAAAGGGTGTAAAACACCCCGAGGGAATGGCCCTTCCCCACATACCTTCATCGTGGGTCTCCGAGGAGTCACTGAGCTCAGTGGGAATGTCTTCGTTGTCATTGAAGTCCAGGGAAGGGGAGTTCACAGGGCCAATGATGTCCATCTTCTCTCCCATGATATTTGCAATGCCCAGGTCTTTTTCCACAGGGCTCTCTGCCACTGCCTCCTCCTCTTCTGGGAGCACCCCATCGAACTGCAGCAAGCACAGAACACAGGGAGGGCAGCATCAGCACCTGGAAACTGGGATTATTTCTGAAAACTTTACATTTGTGAACCCATTGTCTACCTTTGAGTATTTAGCCTTGACATGTCTGAAAAATTAAATAACAGAGGAGGAAGGCTGCCATATAGTGTTTGTAAAACACGTGGATATATTGGATTACCTCCTGTCAAACAGTCAGTGTTTGAGCTTCGGAGACCACAAGGCTTTTTTATCCAGACAAGCACACCAACAATACTAGTTTTGCTCTCAAACAAGCTGAAAAAACCTGAGGTTATAACTGAACAAGGTCTGCTCTGCCACAACACCACGAGGGCACCGCTGAAGGCAGCAAAGACATGATAACCCTTTTTATCTCCAACACTCCATTTCTTTCCATCTGAGGGCACAGAAAGGAAAATGCACTTGGCTGCTGAGAGCCCCAGGCTTTTAGGACGGGCACACTTTGCTCATTTTTTTTGGCCACACAGAGACCTGAAGTCAGTGGAGGAGCAGGGTAGTTACCTCATACACCCAAGGAGCAGCGGGATCCCAGGGAGGAGCATTCCCACTCCCAAGCTGTCCTAGTTAGAACAGCTGGGACCAGTTCATCATTGTATGAGTGTAACCCAAAACTGTGTATTCTAGAGCCTTCCATGCCATTTCCCAGAAACTGTTCTCAATAGACCATTTACACCCTCTGCCCAGAGCAGCCCTGACTCCTCAGGCTATAAACTGGGTGTTCAGAGCCCTGTGAGATAGGAGGGTGCTCCATCCTCATATCCATTGTGGAACTCCCTGCCCTGAGGGAGGGACTGGGCATTCCTGCCTGAACTGGAGGATATATAATCTGGGGGTCTTGGGATCTTTTTAACCACTCGTGGGATCCAGAGAAAGACTGAGACCACCACTCTCAACCAGACTGAGACCAACACACTCAACCAGACTGCAATCACCACTCTCAACCAGACTGCACCAGCCTCTCACCAACAAGTTTTTTCCCTCTCCTTTTCCTTTGGACTCAGGGGGCCCAACGAACACCATTCTGTTCATGCCCCAGGGTGCTGGGTTATACATTTGGGTTTTGTGGGTTAAAACCAACTGTTTGTCTGTATAATCGTACTTATTGTATTACTTTATTAAATTGTTATTCTGACTTATAATCTCTCTTTCGAGTTGGGTTCATTTCCCCTGCCGGTTTACCTTTAAACCAGCACACAAGGGAGGGAGGACACTCACCGAGGCCGGAGCTTCACTGCTGCCCGTGGATGTCAGGGTGCTGGCAGTGACAGATTTCTTTGGCAGCTGAGGGCTGGCTTCTGGCTTGGCCTCCATGCTGCTCTTGGAGGAGCTGTCGTTGACTTCGTTCTCTTCCACGGGGATTTCCTCACAGTAGCTGAGACGCCACAGAGAACACAGGTTTTTATATTTACCCCTCTCAGTACAGCTACAACTGGACACACAGAGCAAGTCAGAACAGTCCTATGAAGTTTCCAGAGTGGCCAAGCAGCAGAAATGGCTCAGTGAAGCCCAGACTTTTCAGTGTTTACACACAGACCAACAAACATCAGCACTTTCTGACCATGTAACCCTGTCACTGGGATGCTCTGGCATTTGCACAGTTGCCCAGCTGGCATTTCAATCCCTACCAACTTCCATGAGGAAATGGTGGGCTTTCAGTGTTTCAGGCATTACACATTTAAAGGCAAACGTGGCCAGGTCCCAGAACCTCTCACCAGGGACAAGCAGCACTCTTGAGGCCTGCAGTACATCCTGCTCTCCTGGGGCCATCTTTTCTTCCTCCCAGGCAGAGTTTCCTCCTCCTCACTCACCCCATTGTGTTGAAGTCATCATCAGGAGGCACATAGTCTTCATCATCACTGGTCAGACCCAGCTCGTTCCCATAGCACTGGTGGACAAAGTGCCAGAGCTCCTTTGGACATAGAGGCTAAAAGGGGATGGAGAACAGCACATATTTGCACCCAAAAACACTAAAACAGAATGAAAGTCTGGAATTCCCATTGTCAGGAGTACATTGCTTGCCCTGAAAGGAGAAGTGAGAGATCCTGACACAGCCCCTGATGGGAGGTGAGAGCCTTACACTGGACTCACCTCTGTGAAATTCCATTTTATGGAATTTATTTTCTTTACCTTAGAGGTTGCCCCCACCAAGCACTAAGAGGCTCTTTTCCCAAAAAAGCCTTCACCATCAGCCCAGGTTCTGCCCTAAAAGCTGATTTTGTTATTTTTCCATGCCACAATCTCACATTACTCAAGACTATCACAAAGCCAACATGAGGCTACACCCAGAGCAGCACATGGATGAGATTTTCCACTCTACAATGGAATAATGCCAGCAGCAAACCTGCATTTCCCTCCACAGGTGTTTTCCTACCTCTTCTGCTGTGCTTCCATTTAATATCTGCTACTTTACCAAGCCCCAGTGGGGAGTACTTACAAGGAAAATAACCTTACAAGGTTATTTTGCCCTTCAAGTTTGCTTAAATTAAAGCTGCCTAAAGAATCCCAGCTGCAGGGAAAATGATTTAAAACAGCAACAAAGAAAAACACTTCCTGTTGCAGTCTGAAATCAAAAGGAGCTTGTATCGCCAGATACTTCTGTGAAAAGTATATACTTGAGATAAAAAGAGAAAATTAATTATCCAGAGTGTTGACAAAAGCCCAGTTTTTTAGGGATGCAGGTCAGTTGATCACCATATGACTGTGATCTGAGGTTCTTAAAAATGGGGCAGAACTTGTGATTTAAATATGTGGCACAGGGATAAAAAGGGATGGATTTTTACCCACGAGAAACTTATGACCAATTACAAAGATTTCTTGGTAATGAGGGAAAACAAATCCAGTGAACTTTTTCTGAGTTGCCGGCTTGAATTTCTTCCCATAGTAACTGCATGGGATAAGGCAGGAATTTTTTAATCCAGCTCCCAAAAGTAGCAATCAAAAGCATGGGAAAAAACCACTCTAATGAGGAACTTCTATCCAGAGAAATGTCTGACTGTTTCACCTTCTCCCCACACACGCTCTCATTTGCATGTTTGATCAGGAAAACTGGACTAGGTTCTTTCTCCCCCTCTTGGAAAAAAGAGCTCTGGAAGTGTTTCCTGTCTTTATCACTCCATGTTTCAGTTCCCATTTGCTCTGACCTTGAAACCAAGGGCACACCGAATTTTGTCAGGAACTTCCAAAGGCTCCTCAAATTACAGCACATGGCCCAGCACAAGCTGCCCAATGCAAAGCATCCCAAATACTCCCCCAATTTTTGGGACAGGGTATTCCGGGTGCTGGATTACTTGAGCCTCCCAGGATGGTCTGAACTCCAGCCAGGGCATCCTGAAACACTGGAAGCACTGGAACATCAGTTCCTGAGGCTGAGGAGTGAGGCCAGAAATACTCACCAGGCTGTGGAGCAGATATTTGGATGAGATATGGGATATATGGGGCCTCTGGCACAGCAGGAACACATCCCTGCTTTATTTTAAAACTGAGCCCTGAATGCACCCTGCACCCACCACTGACTTGGGATGCCCTGAACACTCTTTATCTGCCCTGTTTGGAACTCCACACTTCTGAGGCACAGAACTCTGCCTGCACACTGAGCTATTCCTCTTGCCCTTGGAACTGCTTTCTTCTGGGCTGCTTCACTGGAATTACAGACTTCAAAAAAATTCCCTGCTGAGACGCTGCTTCCACTCCTCAGCAAAGGCAGAGTGGCACCTACAGGGTGTGCACAGAATTCCATGCAAAAAGAAGGAATTGCACTTGCAGTTATGAACAAGCTCTGCCTAAAAATACGTGCCTGCTGTCCCAATGCCTTCTGGTGCACACACAGCAGTCAAGTTACATCCATCCCTCCCTTCCACCCCAGCCAACAGTCAAGTGAAGGTCTTAGTACCTTGTCAAGCAGAGCGTTCTGCCAGAGTCTGAACATCATCATGTACGTCCTGTCTCGAGCCCCAAAGGAAGTAAAAAAGTGCTGAAAGGGAAGAGATGGGGAGAAAAGACAGTTCAGAAAAGGCCCAAAAAAGGGGAATATGAAGAGACAAGCCTGTTTGGATCCCTTTCCAGCTGCAGTTCATGGAAGGAGTGAGCAAACCACACTGGATGTTTTACCTGGCCCCACACCCCACATCCCAGCTCCGTGTGTTCCAGACCCAGCCCTTTTCCCCTTGGTGCTTCCCCAGGTAGCACGACCAATCAGTTTGGAAAAATCCCACACCACCCAGAATTCCCCTGCCCCTGAGAGCCATCAGAAGCGAGGGCTTCAAGGATGTACCTTTTCAGTGTCAGTGCAAACTTGGATGGCATTGGGAATGAGCCGGGCTGTTTTCTCCTTGGTCATCGAGCAGATGTCCTTCAAGCGAACGGTCAGCTGTGGGCAGAGCCACCCAGGAAGGAAAGAACACAGGGAAAGACAGGAGATGATGAGAGAGACAATGAAAAGAAGTGCTTCCAGAGCAGTGTCAGCAAACCTGCTGACACAAAGCACGCTGGCACACAGCCTGGCGGCCTCACCAGTGTCTCCCAGCGGAAGATGTTGCTGTAGAAGCAGATCCAGTTTTCCGAGAGGTAGAGGCGGCCCTGCAGCAGGATGTCTCGTTGGAGAGCACATGAGTAATCTGTGGGTGGACAGCAGAGGGTTTAGGAGCAGCAAAACCAGGCAGCAGGACAGCCTAAAGGTGAGGATGAGCGGCAGCACGGAGAGGAGAAGCTGCTCCACACAACCCAGCCGAGCTCCAGTTGCTGCCTCGGCCACAGGGTTATGTTTCCTCCCAAGGGCACATCACACACAGTCTCTCTCACTGACTATGATCCTGCCTGATCAGCTGGCCACTCTGGAGCATCCTAGGTACCACTGCCAGATTTAATCTGTCTCCTCTGTTTTGCCTTCTAGTGTCACTGTTCACTTCTCTCCCGGTTCGAGTACCCTCAACAACTCCCATCCCCCTCTGCCCTGACGTGCCTCGCTCAGTGTGAGACACAGCCCGAGATCAGTGTTCTTGAACTGGGCAGCCCCTAATCAGCTGTGAGGCCCAAGCCTCACTGGGTGTGGGAAGGGCAGCCACGTGTGAGCTGGGAGCACTGGGAAGTGAGGGAATAGGGAAGCTCTGGGGTGTTCACATCAAGACCTGCAACCCCCACCACATGAGGCCACAAAGAACCCTCTAAGACTCTTCTTGAGCACTAGAAGAGCACAAACACCCTGTGAGGGAACACTGGGGAGGAAAACATGCTCCTCAAATCATGAGGGAACCCATCACAAATCAGTGCTGCCCTCCCTGAAGGAAAACGAGTGGAACCCACCCGAAATGGTGAGGAGGGGCTCTGTCTGTGCATAACAGACACAACGGGCTTGTTCCTTGGTGGCAACCTCTTTGAAGAAGGACAAGCTGGATGCACATGTGCTGGATTTCCCCCCCAGCAGGACAGAGCACAGCCCTGAGGGGCTGGACTTACCCACGATGAGTCGCTCCGTGTCCGGGAGCTGCTTGAAGAGTTTCCTGAAATCCTCATTCCGTTGTTTGTACGTTGGACTCAACACCTGCAAATAACAGAGGGCCTGTTAAAGAGAGGGGCAGGCATGAGAACAGAGCCATGGAGAGGGAAAATGGGAACACCTCAGGAAGGAGAAGGGGGGTCAGATGCACTCACAAAGCATGAGACCAGCTCCCATCACAGCCAACAGAGATGGGAGGGTTTGGGATTTAGTGCATTAAGTGAGAAGAAGAGGAGAACCTGACTTGGAAGAGCAAGTACAGGGTAGAAGGGCTGCACCCATACCTGCAGCTGGGAGTTGCCTGGAAGCTGTGGCTGCAGGGGAAATCTCCTTCCCTGCAATCCCAAACTGCACAAGGTATGACATGTGCTCTGTTTGCAGTGCATCAGTTCACTGCCAATTCCCAGCTGAGCTCAGCTACCCCAGCAAGAAGGTGATCCAGTCCAGCTGCAGCCCTGCCAGAGGAACTTGAGCAATCCCTGCCATCAAGAGCTCAGGAATACTGCTCTCATCCCAGCCCTCTCCCCATGGAGGGGCACTCCGTGCGCACACAGCTGTGTGCTGGTGTGGTGAGGACACTTCTGTGGGGCTCAGAAAAGGCTCTCACAGGGACTAAACTGTGTCATGCACTTATTTTGTGCCCTGGCCTCATGGAAGGGCTCGGAGAACACGGTGCTGTTGGCTGGAGGGAGACCAGGAGCTAGTTCTTCTCTGGCATTTGCTGGACTACAATGTGAACTCCAGGTCAGACCACCTCCTCCACACCCTGCCCTGCTGACAGCTCCCCAAAACAGCCACAACAGCCTCTGAAGGCAGAGCTGCCCAAAATAGAGGCAGGTGCAAATTCCCATCTCCCAGATAATCTGCCATGTTCTTCCTCACACAAATGTAGGGAAGGAGAAGCCTCCTGGGGTACAACCTCTTCCCTCCCTACCTCCCATTTCTTCCCAACAACCCTCTCCTATCTCTTCCAGCTACACAACACAAATCTCCCAGAGCAGAAAGGGCCCCAAAAATCAAAGGTAGCTTCTGTTTGAGACGGTGGTGGGAGTCACAGGGGTGGGAGGAATGTGAAGTTTATTTAGCATTAGCCTCACAGAATTGCCAAGTGCTGTCAAATCAAAGAAGATTTGATTTTGGTTGTCAAATCACAGACAGCCCCCTGCCCCCAAAAGCATTCCCTCTTCCTCACACCAATTCAATGAACTACAAACAGTGTATTTCAACATGAGCTCAGCACTTCCAATACTTGCTCCAGTCCTGTGGGCCCAAAGGAAAGGATCTTACTTGGGAATCAAACCCTCCAGGCAGCAGATGACACAAATGTGAATTTTACTCACCAAACTTCCAGCCTGAACATCTGGAAAAGATCTTGGTCAGAGATGGGCTCCAGCAAGAGCCCAAGCCCAAGATTTCCAGGAACAAGCAGACAGGATGGGAACAGAGTGGGGAACAGAGATGTAATCAGCTCTGAGCTTTGGGTTCAGTGCATTAACACAGCCCAGCTGAGCAGCACAGCTCCCATGTGCAGGGGCACTGCACTCCCTTCCCTGCACTAAGGGATGGTCCAGCCTGCCTAAAACCTGTCCTACAGCAGATGCTCTGCCCAGCACCAGCAGTTCTGTCAGGGTGGCAAACGGTTCAGTTTAGAGACACTCACAGCTGGGATTCCATCTGATCCAAGGCTCACATTTCCTCGTGACAAGTCGACAAATCCTTCCAGGTCCCACCGCAGAAACGGCAGCTCTTGATCCAGCAAATGATCCCAGAGAGACCCACACTCCAGCAAGGAATCCATGGTGTTCCCTCAGCACTCACACAGCTTCCCGTGTTCTCCAACTCTGCTTTTCCTGTTCCTGCTCCCGCCGCTTTTTGTTTATGTCCAAAGTCGACAGAGATACAGCAGCTTGGCAGGAGTTTAGGTGCCTTCCCCTGCCTTCCTGCTCACTTTCAGCTCCTCTGCCCCAGCAGCCCCTGAGGATCTCGGAGAGGACTTGCCCTCCAGAGGACTCTTTTCCAAGTGGCTCATCAGGGTAACGGTGCTGGCGGGTGACCCCAGTGCTCTCCTGCTCCCGGCTCAGCAGCTCCTTGCCATGGGCATCCCCTGTGGGAGCCCTGCACAAGTGCCCACAGCCGTCCCAGCAGGTCTGTGCAGGGCACCTGCAGCTCCTGATGTCCAGGGAAGGCAGAGCCAGCCACCAAAATACCTCCAACCCCACTGGAGCAGCTGGAACTCACGGATGGAGCAGCTGGAACTCACGGATGGAGCCGCGGCTTCCAGGGCTCAACAGGCTGGTAAACAACTCACACTTCAGCTCTTCCCCCCTCCTCTGAAAGCAGCAAAGCAGTAATTCTTCCTCCTCAGTGTCTGCCTCGGGCTGTGCTCTCTAATCCCCCTCTGCTCTCAAAGGCAGCTCCAGTCTCCGTGTGTTTCCCAGGGAAGGGGCGGGTGGGGAAGATCCCGAAATGTCTCACACATGCCTGGAGTCACTGGAGTCACTGGAGCCGGGTAATTCCGGCGGCCAATGCCCGGCAGTAACCCAGCCCCGGCCCTGCCTCCCAGCAGATGTTTCCTGTCATGGAAAGTTGCTGGACAGGGTGTGCTGGGGGAGCAGCGAGGGGAGCAAGGAGAGACCAGCCTAAGGAATCAGGAACCAGCCCTGTGAGACCCACACAGACAGGGAGCTGGAGGGCTGCACTGCTCCTGTGTGCATCTCTCTCCCCCCAAAAACCAACAGGATTTTCTGGGTTTCATTTATTAGTCAGGTCACATTGGAAAAGAAGGGCAAGGGCTTCCTTGCAAAAGAACTCCCTGCAAGTCCCAGGAAGACTGGAGTGCTGGAACTCCCTGTATCCCTCTCCCTTTAGTGCCCAGGCAGCCTCTCCCATCTCCCTGCCCAGGTACAGAAATGCACAGGGAAATGTTCACACCACGGCACCAGTGATGCTCAGCTATGAACACACAGGCAAAATCCTCATTCTTCCTAACAAACTGGGCACACAGGTCTCAAAAAGAACCAAAACCAGAAAAACACCAAGCAACCAACCCACCCAGCCTCTGCAAGGGCCTGGTTCCACTCCAGGCCAGTGACTGCAGCTTGCTCACTGACCCTCTGCCTGCTCAGCTGCTCCCCAAAATCATTGCTGCTCCCAGGCAGCACACAGGGCTAAATGGAACCAGTAGATCCATCTGCACCCCAGGATGAGGGAACAATAAAAAACCCAAACCATTCTGCAGCCTGGGAAGGACTAAGGATTGGGATTACAGGCATCTGCATTGCTTTACTGAATGGCCCTCTTTGCTGGAAACTGCATATGGGATTCATCCAAGGAAAAAAACCCACCAGGATGTTTCTGTCTGCACCCCCACCCACCTGCCTGTGCAGAGATGAAGGACACCAGTGATGGGAAGAGCTGACCCGGAGGTGGAGGCAGCAAACATTAACTCTACTGCAAACAGAGGGAGACGGGACAGGACGGCACTGCCAGGGCTGGGGGGAAATGGGCAGAGAAGGTGACTCCCCACGGTGACATCTCCCTCTTATACACAAACAAATCCTCCCCAGGAAGCCCAAAGCGTGACCTGAAGGACAAGGAAGTTGGACAGCACAAGAACTGAGTGAGAGGTGTGTGGAATTGTACAGCACGTGTCACAGAATAGGGGTGAGGAGAGATGGCAAGAGGCAGAGGGGAAAGGGGGGAGGAAAACCTTATCCAATTTGCATGGCTGATGGACCTGCTCTTAAGCCTTTAGGGAAGGTTTACATTGCTTCTGGAAAACTGCTGGAAAAGAAGAGAACACATTCCCTGCTTGTGTGGGAGAGTTTTGACCCCACTGACAGCAAAGAAACTGTCCCACAGCATTTCTTCCAAACCCAGTCTGGTTGCTCAGATTTTTCTTCTTTTTTTCTCCTTTACTCCTTTTAAAAGTGAACGAAGAGCAGGGGAAGATGCTGCAAAGCAATCACTGGCCATCTGGGGTGGAAAATTGGATTTCATAATCACACCAGCATGCACCAGAAGTTCACTTCTAATTTAGTGGCTCCACAACCCAACTGAGCCGGGCTGGCACTCCATACACCTAAAGAGCCAAGGAAAATCTGGCAGGATGAAAAACACCTGAGAGACAGTGAGTTAACACTGCTCCAGAGAGAGTCTGATAACATGGTTACTGGAACTTAAAAGCTGGTTGTGCTGATGTAGAGATAAAAAGGCTGTTCCACACCTTGCTCACTCACAGGCCTGGATTTTTGCAATGAACTCTGTTCATGTGGTTGGTGTTGCTGAGTGAGGTTCAGGCTGCTACTCACAGGAAAGGTGTTTCTGATGTTTTCCCTAAAATGATGCATAATTTCTCTTTGTCTTCATAGGGAACGTTTGACACTTTTCAACAGCTCAATTCCCCCTCCACTCTGGTATCTACGAGGTCTCCAAGAAGAAGAGACAGCACAGGGCTGAGTCCTTGTGTTCAGTCTTGTGATGGCTTGAGGTTTTTCTTCAGAAGCTCAAGGGCTGCCCAAAGGTCCCCACAAAGGCCCTTTTGCAGCATCACATTTCACCACAGATCCTCAGCCAGCCCCCAGCTCCTGCTGCACAGCCTTTCACTGCAGCTTTCCCAGAGGAAAGCCTTGGGCTCCCTCCTTTGCCTGGGTGTGTTTTTGAGGCTCAGATCTGCCCTGTGTGCAGAGCATTTGTTTGCAGAGCTCCTGTCCCACTCCGGGCCATCCCCAGGGCAGACTTTGCTCTCCCAAAGGAACAACTGGGCTCCCACTGATCTGCTCAGACTTACTGGGACAGCAAATGTTTTCAGTGGTATTTAAGAACACTTGACATGGACAATCAGTGTCTTTTCAGTGTTCAGGTCATAGGGAGAAGCTGTCAGAAGAAAAAGAAAAGAAAAGCAAAGGAAGGGAGTACAGAGTAGGGCAGACCTTGGGATCCCAACAATAAAATGAAAACCTCGTGGACAGATGTAAATCTCACCTCTTCCCTGCTGTCAACTGTTTTCTCTCACTTTTCAAGATCATCTAACTGTCTTTTCCAGAGTATAGTCTAGATTCTCCGGATGCCTGGTGCTACAGGAGGCAATTTAAGAAGCCAGCCTTGCTTCAGAGCAGCAGAAACACTGCAGAAAATCAGAGACACCCTCCCTAATTTAGGAACAGGGAAGTAGAAGGATTGACAGTCCAACTGAGACAGAAATAGGCAGAAAAAACCACAGCAGACTTGCCAGTCTGTCAGCTGTGCTCTGACATCAGGACACAGGATCTGAGAGCTCCCCAAGCCCAGAAACGGGGCCCTATGCCCAAAGCCCAGAGAGAAGGAGAAGAATGAAGGAAAGCTTTTAGCCTTGGCAGCAAAATATCTCCAGTTTGGCTCTAATTTTAATGACATCTGCTGGGTGACAAATTCCTCCCACCAATTGTGGAGCTCCTGACACCCCCCCACACAGAGCAACTCCTGCTTCGTGTCACCAGGGAAGTGAAACACAAGTTTCCCACCTCTCCAAGAGCAGCAGGTGTGCAAAAAAAAGTCACACCTCTGTTTCAATACACAAAATCACTGAGTAAGTTTGGGGGTGAGGTCTATTCTGTTTTTTTTTAATTAATTAAAAAATAATTTTTAAAATAATAAAAAAAAAATCAATTACCAATAATTCACCATGCAGACACACAAGTTCCAAAGCCTAAACCACGGCTGAGCAACAAGAGTTTTGCTCCATAAGAATCACAATTCTTGGAAACCAGAGTCTCCATGTCCACAATTCCTCACTGAAGGCATGACAAACACCTCAGGGACATTCTGCTCTTCCACCACGAGGACATGAACACAAAGCAAACCCCACAAGGTTGAGTATATTTAGATTTATTCTCCAACTGGGGTTCTCTTCTAAATCTCACAGTGCATCTGGACCAGTTTGCATTTCGTCCTCTGGAAAGCCAAGCACAGAAAGCACACCCAGACCCAGAGAGGGCAGGGCTGCAAACCAATCCATGACCTTGGGTCACCCCTTTTCTCCCACTTCTCAACCTGGCAGGGATGTCAATCCCAAAAAAGCACTGGTAGGATCAAAAGGAGAACACATAAGGCAAGAGAACAAGTGGCATTTTAAGCAAAAAATACAGAAAAAGGAATCCAGGAGAGGGAAAAGGGAGGGTCCCAACTGGCAGAGAGGGATGCAGTGCTACAAGGACAAAAAGACCAGTTAAAAGCAGCAGAAACCAAAGTCATCTTAGAAAACTGGTGATGCTCTGGGGATCTTTGAGGACTCTTTGAGGCAAGGGCTATTTTTTGGTTTGTCTGCACAGTGCCTGGCACCCAGGGCTGCTGAGCTGGCACCAAGAACAATGTGGAGGGTGTTTGCTCTGAGCACAGTGGAATTTATGTAAAACGAAAGTGAGTAAGGGAAACTGTAAGGCTTCATGAAGAGGCAGCAGCCTCCACTGATTCATTTCTAGAGCTGCTCTCAGAGGGGAAAGGAATGGAAGAATCAGAAGGGTCCAAATGCCAGAAAAATGCTGCCTGGAAGGAGCTGGCAAATTTTTGATGGTAGTAATAATTCCAAGTGGGACTCACTGGCTTCCTGGAGTTTGTGGCCCAGCCATATTTTCACACTGCTGCTTTTATCTGGCCAGAATGTCTCTGCTAACTAGAACGTGGATTTGGTTTTTGGTTTGTTTTCTAAAGGAAAATAATGGGGGGGGGGGAGGAAAACCACAAAAAATGCAGCCAGTGCTTACTCTCCGGATGTACTGTCTCTCATGCTGAAAATATATGGAGGAAAAACAAGAGAACAGAAAGATAAGATAGAGAGGACATGAAAACACAGGAGACCCACAGAAGCAGAGCACAGCAAAGCATCATGCACAGGGAATGGAGCTCAGCAGCTACAGGCAGAAGCAGTAATAGCACAAGTCACCTTCAGCTTGGTGACAGGTTCACATTTTGGCAGCAGCCTGCTCAGGCTGGTGCATCTGCATCCACAGTCCTTTATCTGCCACTTCTCCACTAGTTTGGTCTATTTTATTCTTGAAGCCACTGTCTCATCTGCTCCTGAGATCACTTCTCCTCCTGTCCGTGCTACCACCCCTGATTATATCCCACAGGCACCTAACTCTGCCTCTCACACCTCTGCCACATCTGCCCAGCCAAAATCCCAGGTTCTGATGTCCCAGGCTGCAGGAGGAACTGCTGCTGAACATGAACAGCTGCTGCATTTGCCCACTGGCTACTTGAGAGCACTCCAGGGAGGGGTTCCAACCGTGCAGAGGGTGGCACCAGCTCTGCACCACGACACTCCTGCCTGCAGCACCACAACAGGGGCAGGGCAGAAGCAAGAGGTGGTTTGTGTTTCTATGGGGTCACCAGAAAAAGAACTCCTCTCTCGCCCCCACACCACCCTGAGAGATGCAAAGGGCTTGCAGGGTGGCAGCTCTGTTTGTCACCTCGTCACCACCCACCCCGTGAGGAACCCGAGGCACAGGGCGTGGGGATCACCAGGAGAGGGGCTGAAAAGACAAAGCTCTCGCTCTCTATCTCTGGTATCCTTTCCCTCAGGATGCCAGTGCTCCTTTGCCAGTGCTGAGCCATTTCCACCTCCGTTTGGAAAGGGTCAGAGGGCCCCAGTGCCACTGCAAAGCCCCTTTGCACCTTCCCCCCGCCCAGGCCCCCAGCCCACATCCACCCAGGGACAAGAGAAACTGGAGTACTTACATTATACCAACTCTGGCTTTTCTGTAAGGACAAAATAAAAGAGAAGCATTAGTCAGCACAGAGATCTCAGGATCAAAAAGAAAGAGGGACAGAGAAAGCAGGTCCAATCTGGTTTGTGTAATTAGTGGAGTGAGAGTGGGATTAAACAGAAGATTTCAATGGGTTCCACAGTGTGGTCTAAACACAATTATTTCCAGTTACAGGAGCAAAGAACAAATCCAGAAGCATGATTCCAGGACAGGAAACAGTTCAGGCTGAGGTGTGCATGTCCACATGCACACACACAAACACACAGGCTGCTGTTCTGCAGACCAGCAGCACCTGCCACAACAGAGGAGCTCATCATCATCACCATCACCATCATCATCATTGCCAGCCGTGTCTTTAGGGGCTTCACTCTTCTACATTTGCTGGCTGGGTGGCAAAAATCACATTGCTGAACAGCCCCTGTGCAAATAAACCCTCAAAGCACTACTAGAGGCAGGGACTCACAAAAGCCACCAGGCAAATTTTTTTCAACAGCATTTTCAAAGGGAGACACACACACACAGAGCCAGGGGAAGTGCTGAAGGAAATCACTACAAAAGCTAAGCAAGGGGAAAAAAAAAAAAAAAGGCTGTTTTTTTTTCTTTTCAGAATTTCAGTGCACAGTGTTTTGCATCATCTGCACATGGGATTTTTTTTTTTAAATCTTTTTGTCCTTATCGTGGCATTTCAGGTGGTTGGAGAGGACAGGCCACATGTCACATGGGAGCACAGGGAAGAGCTGAGCTTGGAAAGTCACACTCAGCCATTTTCAGCTGGAGGTGAGATCCACCTGCACAGGGAGAGCAAGGAACAAGGAACAAGCTTCCCACTCCCACTCCAGTCAGGGTGGCTTTCCAATGACACTGAGCAGAGCTGACAGGACATGCAGGCATCCCCCATTTTTGGGTGGAAATACCTCAGGGCACTGCAGCCTTTGAGCACAGCTACAGAGTGTCCTGCCAGGAACATGTCTCAGAGGCACAAAGCTGGGCTGTCCCCTCTCCCAGCCACGTCTGCATTCCTTGGGGGAGCCCAGGAAAACAGACAAGGACAGCAGCAACATCCCCCTGCATTTCCTCTCCTTGGAGCCACCTTGCTTCTGACCTTGGCAGTATTTTTCACTCTTTATACCCAGCCAGGGATATGAAGGCAAACACAAAACTGTTCTCTGCCTTGTAACAGAGAGTTTCACTCAGAGTGAAGCTCAAGCTCACAGCAACACAGAAACCACCTGCACTGGGGTGGCCCACAGAGGACACACAGGATGTTTCACCATAAAAAAGTACATTCAAAGTGTTAATGAGAGCAGACTGGACCCAAGATTTCCGTGAAGACACACAGTTTTCTCCCTGCTCTCAGTTCCCTGTGCCCCTTCCACGCCATTCCAGCAAACACAACCTTACTGGTGTCTTGGATTTCGTTCATGGAGACATTTCTGAAGGGTATTTTAAAACCTTGGGTGCATCTCCCAGTCTGCCTCACTGATCTCAGAATCCCACAGTTACACAGTTCATGTCACAGGCTAAAATACAACAGTTTGATGATAAAAAGAGGAATCCCCTTTCCCCAAATCCCAGAGAAAGGATATGAACTGCAGGACTGAACACACAGGATGGCTCATTATCTACCCAAGGAATTTCCTCTTGCTTCCTACACTTTTCCATACCCTCCATTCATGAAGGATCTGCTTGAAGTCATCCCTCCCTGCAAGCAGGATGTGGAAAAAGGCCTTATGCAATTCAGTCTACACTAAAAAAAGAACCAGGGTAATTATCCCAAAGCATGCACACAGCACCTTGTCCTCGGGAGCACGGGGCCTAAGATGGAGTGGTTTTCCTGCAGGTTTGTTTTGCCATCTGTCTGCCTTTAATGAGCAAAAGGAGTAACTCAGAAAATTCCTGGGGAAAAGCAGCTCATAATCAAGCTATAATTGGCACACTCGAGGCAGAGGCACTGCTGTCACTGTGCCTTCTAAATCAGGGTGCACACGCTGTGGTGGCAGCACAGCACAACAGGATTTCACTCCCCTCTGCTGCATTAATTGCAGCAACTATTTCCCCACCACCACCACATTTGAATTTTCCCAAATTAAGGGGCTCCTCTCTAAAGGAGCCCTGCAGGTTCTCCTTTTTTAAGCTCTTCCACCCCCCAAAAAAATCATACTGGCATCAATAAATATACTGAAATCCTTAATTATACTGGCACCCAAGCCTCATCTTTTGCCTCCACCAAATGTTCTAACAGACTACAAAAAGTTCAAAGAGAAGGGAGACCGAGCCTTTAAATCTCTCTTCTGTTTTATTTACCCTTTTATTTTATACTCAGTGACAGAATATAGGGGGATGTGAACTGTGAAAACCAAGAGACAGCAAAATGGAGGGGAAAAAAGAAAGAAAAAGGAAGAACATGTTTCTTACTTTGAGCAGGTTAAGTCTGTCATACTGGAAAAAGAAACCATAAGCATTAGAACTGAAAAGAGAAAATAAATAAGTAACAGAGGAATGGAGGTGCACACAGACATGGAAAAGGTGGGACTGGTTTGCAGAGATGATGCTACAGGAGCAGAGAGCAGAGGAAGAGCTTCGGAGAACTTGAGCAACATGAAAATGGAGTATTTTCCCTAAGCCTTCAATTAATACAGTGCTGCCTCTAACTCTCTGTGGGTTCATAACCCCATATCTGACACAGTGCTGTGGAGGATCCCAGCTCTACAGTGCAGATGGGAAGCACAGGGGCACACAGACAAAGTTCACCCTGATAACCTGATCCAAAGGAAGCTCCCACCTTCCAGCATCCCCAGGAGCAGGATCACAGCTCCCTCCCACACATTGCTGCTCCCAGGGGAACAGAAAGCTTGTGCCAAGTGACTGACATGCCACAGGGCTCCAGAGTATCCCTAAATCCCTTCTACTGGGCACAGAGGCACAGAATGAGGAATATATTCCAGAGCACGGAATATATTCCAGAGCCCTTTCTCCTGATCTGTGCACTTCCAAAATCTCTGCTATCCACCTCTAAATACCCACGGGCAAATCACTCATAGAAATTAATTAAATTTATTCCCCAAACCCTCACCCCAGCCCAAAATGACCAGAATTTCACGAGCTACGACCTAAAGGGGGGTTATACCACCCAGTGGGAGGGTGAATGAGAAGACACAGCCAAACTCTTCCCATCATCACACACTGAAAGGACGAGGTGCAACAGTCATAAGCTGTAGTAAAGGGAAATTCTATTTGGATAGAAGGAAAAAGCCTGTTCACAAGAGTGGTTAAGCACTGGAGCAGGGCCTGGGGGATCTCCAGCCCTGGAGGTCTGCAAAAAGTGGCTTTAGACTGAGCTTATCTTACCACACCAGCCCTGCTTTGAGAGAGACCTTCCCAGATCTCCTCTGACCTACACTGTTCTACAGTGCCCAGGGCCCACAACAAAATTCATGTTTTCCCCTAACCTGGTATTAACCCTCAGCATTCCTCATTAGCTGTGGGCATTGGGAACAATCTGAAGGACTTGCAACAGAGAGGAAATCACTTTTATCCTTGGGCAAGAACAAAAGAGTTAAAAATACATATTTTGTTGTTGGCTACTGGCAAAAAAGGTGGGGTTTTTCCCAACTTTGGAAAGCTGTTCCAGAAGAAGAACTCTACCAGTAAAAGCCTGAGGCTGACACAGACCTAGGGGTGGTTTGGTCCTTGCCACACTGGGGGACAGAGAGGAAAAGCAGGTCCAGGAGGGGTTGCCTCGGGATGGAATCCAGTGCTTAAAAACTCCTGGTGAAGCGCTCCCTCTGATGGCAGCGCTGCAGCACGACAGGACACACGGACAAAAGAGGGCAAGGGACTCAAGCAGATCTGTCAGCAATTGTATAAACACAGCGTCAAACTCATGGGCTCAAGCTGTTCCGTTTCATTAGCCAGACAGGTTGGAAAATCGATTCTCCTGCAGGAGATGGCTGGGGGAGGAGAGCAGGCTGAGGAAGGAGAGTTTAAAATCTCTGTCCTTCCCTGCTCCTGAGCTCTCCCTGTCTTGAACAACCACTGTCATCTAAGTGGGGAGAATCAGGGGGTTTGTTAAGTCTGAAATTCCTCATTTGTGCCTAAGAAAGAGCAGAGAGCAGAGATCCAGCCTGCACACTGGGTTAGGCTGCACAGAGAGCTGGGCTTGGTGATCCCTGTGGGTCCCTTCCAGCTCAGAATATTCTGTGTGTGTGAGCAGGGCAGGAGGCTCTGACAGGCTGGTGGGGGTCATACCCAGGATCCCCTTCCCTCTGAGCATCACCTTCCTCACACTGGGACCAACCTGGGCTCCACTTCCCTCTCGTTTCTCTAAATGTCTCCCAGTGGGTGGGTTTTGCCCTCCCAGAAAAGCAAGGACATCACAGACAATTTACACACACATTGCTCTCTACCTCTGCTATTCCCACTCCTAACAAACCTCTCCACAGACACCAGTCCCACTCCTCTGCAGTTATCCAAGCTACAGTTACCAAGCACAAGACAGCCTGTCTAAAAAAAAGAGACATAAAGAAGCTTCCAAGAGACACCAGCACTCGTGCAAGGCCAGGTTGGCTACAAGGATTATCACCAAGGGAAAAGCCAGCCCTGCTCCCTGAGGACTTGCCTGGAATGACACCTAAGGCCAAGGCATGGATTTTGTGGGTCATGAAGCCATCCAGGCCAGCCTGCTTTTAACTTTCCCTGCACACACGTGGAAGTGCCAACAGCCTTTCTGATTTTCACACTCTTCTCAGGGCAGCACAGAGGTGTGAGATCCAATCTCAAACGATCTTATCTCCAATCCAAGCACCCACAGAGGGATCTCCTACTTGTCACCTTCCAGAGCGAGCCCATGAATTCTCACAATTCATCTGGGACAGGTCTGTTCTAACAGGTTAAAGCTGGGTTCACTTGAAATCACTGATCTTTAACATTTACATCACACAGGGAAGCGTGCAAGGGCAGTAAAGCTGAGACCACTGGCCACAAAACTGCTATTCATCATAAAGAGCAGGGAAGAAGCTATGGAGAGCAACTCCTTTTTCCAAAAGTCATGAAGGAAGAGGAGAGAGTGAAGAGAAGGGATTATGGTTCTGCTCAACCTACCAAATCCAGGGGATTTCTCCCTGGCAAAGGCAGCTGCTCACTTCCAGGGAGGGGGAAAGCAAAACTAAAGGGCTGAAGGCAGCTGGAAGTAACTGAAGGAGCGTGATGAACAGGCCAGTTCTCACTCTGTGTGAGCAAATATTAATGAGATGCCAGGGATTTAAGTGAAACCAGCTTCCAGCTACAGGCACGGGGCTGAGCTCTGCTGGCATTCTCACAGCTGCACCAGGAGAATGCCTGTGACTGGGGTCACCACTCAGCACCTGAGTGATGAGACAATTCTACAGTGGGGGACAGGAGAGAAAAAAGAAGGCTTACTTTGGAGAGGCGCTTGTGTGACTTAATCGGAGAGAAAGCATGCAGGAATGAAAAGAGAGAAATTAGGGAAAGAAGAAAAATTACCTGGCAAATCAAGAGAAGGAAACCCCACAAACCCAACAGAGAGCAGCATACCCCCCCTTTTCTCGTGGAAAGCACCATGAATTAAAGTTAAGCTTTGGCAGTCACTGTTTTGGTAAAAAAATCTCACTCCCATGGCCTTAATTCACAGCACTTTGTGGGCCAGGGCAATGCAACTCATGTCTGCAATTCCCCCTTAGCAAGGACACCACTTCCCTGAGAGCAGCCCCCAGTGTGGCCATAAACACAGCCTGGCCTGCATCCTGCCTGCCTCCCATCCCATCCCATCCCATCCTATCCCATCCCATCCCATGGCTTGCTTTTGGGAACACAGTGCACGGGTGTCACCCGGCAGGGCTGGTGTTTGTAGGTCACTGTGTGCACAGGAAGCCAGGCTGACCTCCAGGGCAACCTCACAGCTCCAACGGTTCAGCTTGAAAAACCCTTCTCCCCCCTCCTTTGAACTCACACAACCCCCCTCAGTGGGGAGAGATCAGCTCAGCCCAGGGAATGTGGGCCACTGAATCCTGTTCCTGTGCTGAGAGCGCCCACAAAGGGCAGCAGATGAAGATTTCTTGTGTGTGACACAGCCCAGCAACAGATCAGGCAGAGATCTAACAGCTCATTCTGTACAAGCCACCAGAGTTATGCCAGAGTTATAACTGTGAAGTTATTCAGGCTGAAATATTTCACTTCAGAAATCTGATAAAAACACAAGTGCTCCTGACAGATGACTTAAAACACATCCCTGACAGCAGGGTCACAATCAAAGGTATGTTTGGCTCCCAAGGGCTGTGTTTTCACCAGCTCACAGAGAAACCCAGAGTTGCCAAACCTGAGATCCTCTCCTGCAGCACAGCAAAGACAAGGCTGTTTCTAACATGGTCCAAGGACACAAAACCTTTCTAGGGAAAACACCACCTACCCTGGCCAAGCCAGCCCTAACACTGCACTGATCAGAAGGAATGGGCAGAGCACTGGAAAACTGATTCTGTGCAACCTGAGCCTCATCTCAGAGGGCTTAGGCAGGACTGAGAAATGCACAAGCCCTTCACAGGCTGCACAGGGGAACCTTTATTTTTTCCATGGCACTCGACGATCCAGATGACAAAAAGTAATTTCAACAGCTGATTTTCAAGGTCTTTCTCAGAACCACAGAGCCTCCCAGGAATCAGGGCTTTGACTATAGAAAGTGAGGCTCTGGAAGCTGTCAGGGAGCTGCAGTTCCAGCCATCAGCAGCTCCTGGACTCAGGTCGCTGCAAGGATGATGGAGCTGTGCTGAAGTTTGACCCTAGCCAGGAGGACTTGACCCTACTTAGGAAAACTTGACCCTAGGTAGGAGAACTTCCAGAAATACGATGGGGGAAGAAGGGGGAGAGTTATCCAGAGGAACAGAAGGCACAGGACAAAGGCAGTGCCCCACAGCAGGGAGTTCAGCACCCGGGACACGTGCCCACCTCGGCCGGAGCCGCTCGTTCGCTGCTCACCTTGGAGTTCTTGGCCCCACTGCGGCCTGACTGGGAGGAACAGCTCCGCTGGACACCCTGCTCCGGCGTGGAAGGGGATTTGTCTGAGGAGTGGTCCGAGCCCTTCTCCACCATGGCGTCTCCCGGGGCGTCCTGCGGCGTCGGGGAGCGGGAGCGTTTGCGCAGGATCGGGGAGCAGGCAGGAGTGCTGCGGTTGGAGTTACTGGCAGTACTGCGGGGAGGGAGGGAGAAACAGCAGGGTTAGCCACCCCCAGCTCAAAGTGAAACCAGCTGCACCCCTGCCCCGAGGTGTGCAGAGCACACAGATCTCCCCACCGGCACGGCAGACAGATCTGGCTTCTTGGAGCAACACGCCCAGCGAATTGGGGCTGCTGACAGTCATCATTTCCCAGTGGCAGAGGAACTGCCACGGCCTGGCAGTGCCCCTCTCCACCCACTCTTCAGTTCATCTGACCACAGAGGAATGAACTCATTCTCCTGTGGGCTCCAGCAGTTTCAAGTGATGATGATCTGAGCTTAGAAAATCTAAACTTGCACTCAAGAATGAGGGAGATGTCGGTGTTTTCTCAACACTCTGTCCCTCCTTAACTTTCTCTTAACTGTTCTCAACAGGATGCATGACAATGGGATCACACCTTTCAGAAAACACTCCATTAAAGGTCATCAAAACCCAAAAACGCTGGGGCACTGGGAGGGAGGTCATGATGACAGACACTGCAGTCACGAGTTCCTGTACAGAATCATCCTTTCCCACACCAGTTAGAGCTGGGCATGAGAACGTTTTGCTATAACCTGAAACCCTTCATGATCAAAAAAAAAACCAACACTCAAAGTTCCCCTTTCATAATGGGAAAAGCAAGACCTTCTTGAGTCTTACAGAAATTATGAGATGTTTAGGAGAATGGAAATTCTCCTCCTCTACCCTCAGCAAATGCCCCAACACCTCAGTCAGAAAGTCAGTAATACAGACATTAATACAGAACAGGAAAACTCAGATTTCCTCAAACTGATCCTTCTCTTTTGATGCCTCTTCTTCCTGCCAGACTCTTCATGCTAAATCCATTTTTCCCCACATCACTCATTTCCTTCTGACCAGTCCAAACATCCTTGAGGCTTTTCCAGCAGCCTGCAGGTTCCAGTGGAACCTGGGCTGATCCAAGGATGAATTCTGTGCTAACTCTGCCATGCTCAGTGGTTTGGTACCCTGTTGTCTCTCAGAGCCACATCTGAGTGACAGAAGAGCAGGCAACAGGGAAAGCATGAGGGAATCACAACTGCAAGGGATTGAATTAAAAGTTGGTACAACCAGACTCTTAAGGGCTATAATTTAAGCCCAATTATCTACAGCAAACTGAAGCTTCCTTCTCACACTCACACACAGTGAGGTACTCAAAAGGGATCATTTCCTTTCAGAAAATCTCGAAAAGCTGAACACGTGCCTGAGGTTTCATTAATTCCCAGATAAAAATCACATCTACCCCTTACCTCTGAAGATGCCAAAATCATTTTACACAACAAATATGAGCAGACAATGTAACACACTCCTGCAGCAGTTGTCAGGCTTGGCTTGGTTTGGTTTAGCACTGGATAAACTGGTCTCATAAATTATGCTCTATTTGCTCACTGCTTGTGTAAACCCACAGAGTGATGAGACTTCCCCTAAACAATCTGCAGAAAGCACACAAACACACTGCCTGGGCAAACATTGACAGAACCAGATTTCACAGGAGCTGGCAAGGGGCAAGAACAGCAGGATGGAGCCCCACAGAAACCCTGGAGAAGATGCTTCCAAGGACATGAAGTGTGGAAGTTCATACAGAAAACGGACAGAAATTGGGTTTGCAAAATGTTCTATGAGCAGAAAGCTGGACTGAGTTACAGACTCTGCTCTGTTACCTGCTTTTACTTAGAGTCATACAGCTAGAGAATAATAAAACCCTGATTGTTCAAATGCAAAGACAGGCAGAGTAATCCCACCCTTAGCTTGGTTCTTCACAGCTCACAATTAGCAATGGCACATCTCCTGAGTGTCATATATTGTCACATATTGTCCTGTGTCCTCCCCTTCCCTGGACAAGAAACAGGAATACATGTACAGCACAACTGTGGCAATATCCAAGATTTAATCCCTCCAAATCAGCTTTGAAACAAAAAGACTAAAGAAAAAATGATCTGGACCATTCTCCCAGCAGCACTGCCTGCAACAGTTTGGGTATATCATAAAGTCAAACTATCAGGAATTTCTCAGCTATTGAAATTTTATAAAGTATCAGGTTTATTCACAGACTTGCAGTTGATTTAGTTAAAGTGAGTGTTTCACCTTGTCTGTCCTGCTGCTGCTCCTTCTCCTGTCTAAACTCACTTTTTAACAGCCCACCAGAGCTATATTAGTGGTACTAAAACTTCAAGTTCATCAGCAATGGTTCCAGTAAGGGAAATGGTTCTGAATTGCCATTTCTAGACTCTACACAATGTAAAGTTCTGGTCAAAAACTCTAAATTCTGAGGCTGTATTGGTCCTGCTTGCCCCCAGCAGCCTGGATGCAACACAAGCTGCTTTATGTGAGAGGTCCCCAAAAATGCAAAGCCAGAATTTGAAGCCAGCGTTCCTGACTCACACATCACTGGACTAATTTGAACAGATGTACTAATTTTGCTCCTACAGCTCTACAAAACCTGAGCTTATCATGCACAACCTCCCTCTCACTTTCGTTTCCTGCGAGTTCATACCCCCAGTTTCACTTTGGGTGTGAGCTTTATGCAACCCTACAAAGACCATGTCAAATTCACCCAAGGGTCCGTTTGCTTTCAGGTCACAGTTGTGAGATTTTTAATGCTACTCAAAGTGCAAATCACTCAAAACCAGGGTTCAGCTGCATCACGTGCATGCGAAGTTTGGATGAAATGCCCTAGAAAGTTCTAGTTTTACTCTTTTTATGGTCTTACAAAGCTCCTCAGGTGGCTTTTTCAGTCACAGTTGAGTAACCCACACAGGGACAGAATCAACACTAACTACCTTAAAGCTGCTATGTATATATTTGTTCATATTATCACAGCCACGCATTTTGGTGCCAGCCCTGCCAAGCACAATCTCAGGCAGATTCCAGATTCCAAGCTCGTTTTCCAGTCATTTAGCATCTCTGGCATGCTTTGAAACACTAAATCCATCCACACAGACTGTGTTTGGGATGTATGGATTATCACCTTTGCAGGGATGGGGGGGAAATAACTTCAAGGGCACCTTCTCTGGCTCTCCCTGAGGTCAGTGGCAGAGCCAACCAAAGGCAGGAGGGTCTGATTCCTCCTCTGGATGACTGGGAAAAAGCTGAATATTTCTCCCACGAGGGGCTCCACACACCAAGAGCCTGTTAATTCAGCCTTTCATCTCTAGGGCAGCGAGGATGGGCACAAAAAAGCACCGAAGCTGCAGCTCCATCCCCCTCTCCTGCCCCTGCCCCGAGCCCCTCCAAACTCCGCCGCTCCTGCTCATTCCCTGGAGTTTGAATCCAGCCCAAGGCACAGCCATGACGAACGCTTTCTGCAGTTGCCATGGCGACCGAGGCCTCGCAATTGAACCAGGAACCGGCGCCTGAGATGCCAAAACGGCCTGACCCACTTTGAAAAAAAAAATAATAGTAATAAATAATGCTTTTAGAGCCCTAATTGCCCGGAGAGCATTCAGGGCCTCACATCCCCCCGCAGCGGAGCCTTCAGCGGGGGCAACAGCTGAAGTGAGGCACAGAACACAAACAAGCCCACCTAAGCTGCAGCCCCTCGCTCCTGCACGGAATATATGAAAGCACAGAAGGGCTGATTCTGTCTCCTTGGTTTATGTCCTTGCTGTGCCTAAGAAAAAACCACCTTGTCCTGAGGTTGGAGCCGCAGGAAAAAACGCCACGGGATGGGAAAGGGCCAAACTCTGTTCGGACGTGGAGGAAAAGCCTCAGTGTCTGGAGCAGCACAGTAAAGAACCAGCAGCCTTGCAGAGTCTGAAAGGGTCTACAAGGAAGCTGGAGAGGGACTCTGTCTGGAATTGTAGTGATAGGACAGGCAGTAATAGGTGCAAACTGAAAGAGGGCAAGTTCAGGTTGGATGTATGGAAGGAATTCTTGCTGGGAGGGTGGGGAGGCCCTGGCACAGGTTGCCCAGAGAAGCTGTGGCTGCCCCTGGATCCCTGGAAGTGTCCAAGGCCAGGTTGGACGGGACTTGGAGCAACCTGGGCTAGTGGAAGGTGTCCCTGCCCATGGCAGGGGGAGGACCAAGATGATCTTTAAGGTCCCTTCCAACCCAAAGCACTCTGTGACTCTACGAGCTTTTCTTCAGGTGGTGAAAAAGAACAAACACTTGGCAATGCACAGACAAGCCACCTGGTCACCCTGGTGACCCTGTGGTCACACAGAAAGGCCACACTTCCTCCTCCAACAGAGTATTTTCTGTAAAGACATGGACCAGCTGATGAACAGAGACTTCACCAAGCAGTCACTTTTGGGAAATGCTACAGCTTGTACTCCACAAGTGAAGCTTGGTGTTTTTACAGCTACAGAGGAACCCTGAGGACTCTGTGCAATGATCTCACGGAGAACTCAACAAGAAACCTGCCTTAGTTCGAGTCTGTTAAATAAATTCTGCAGGAATGACATTCAAGCAGCCCTGAACTGACAGGAAAGTCTGTCCATCCTACTAGATCTGAAATAACCACCCTGCCTGCCACTGCTACACAGCCAGCCCTGGGCTTGAGACAAGCACCCTGCAACAGTTCTTCCCCAAATTTTGGGGGCCCCAACAGCCAGCAGCCACCCTCCAGAAGAGCACTGTCACAGCACCAGTGGCTACAGCTACACTGCAGGACAGCAGCTCAGTATTCTCCTCTCAGGTAGGGACACAGATTAGAAGGACACACAGCAAATCCACTGGAACCTGCCAGTTGCAGGATGTGAATTAGAATTCAGCCAGAAGTAATCACTGTGTTGCCAAAGATTTGTAACAAGGGCAGATCATCTAAACAAGCAGCAGCTGCATGTACACTGTGATCACCAGCTTCTCAGAGGGTTTCTTCCCCAAGAAAGTCCTGATCTGGAAAGCTAATTGGCCTCCAAGTCCTCAAAAGAACCTGCTTTATAAGAGTAAATCTGCAGCTGCTCAGGTCTCCCTGCAGCCCATAGCACCTACCTGATGGAAGGCTTTTCAAGGCCCCAAGTTTGTGTTACAAAAT